AAATGCTACTTCCTGAAATTGTTCGTGCCAGCCTGTTCTTTTCAGTACAGTATCTGCATATTCCTCAAGGACACTTTAGGTCTGACTTGAGGGCTCTGGTTCTAGGGTAAAGTGCTGTCTTTTGGGGGGCACGCCTTGATCCACTTTCTCAAGTATTACTGGCATCATTTGCTGATCTTCCCATGGATCTTTATGGCCGACATTTATTCCTGCTTGTCCGTGTTTAACCTTTTATAGGACACCCGACACTGCATGGCCTTACTAACGCCACAAAGAGAATCCTATTCCCAGTTGGGATTATATTCACAAGTATAGGCGTTAGGACTTTAATGGATATTTTTAGTGTACACAGTTTTATAAACAGATACCTGACAAATTCTGGGTCCACAGTCTGGCAGGATTGGAGCCAATAAAGACACAGTAAGGGAAGAGCAGAAGGCAGGGCTTTAATGCTGTGCGGGTTGCAGGATCTGGCGGCCTCAGAAGTATCTCAGAGGAAAGGCCAGGCCTGACGAAGCCGGCTGTTGCAAACACTGTGGAGCGTGGATCCACGCCAGGCAGACCCGAGTCAGCAAACTCAGAAGCCCCTGGGTCACGGCATTTGGGCTGGTGGCTGCAGACGGTGCCTTCTGGTTTCCACGTGGCACTGACCTTCAGGTCCTATAGGATTCACATTTGCCTCTCTCTCGTCCTTGCCTGCAGGATCAGCAGACCTGGGCGTCTGTCTGCACAAGTCTTCCAGCGGCCTGGACCTGCCCATGAAGGTCGTGGACATGTTTGGGTGCTGCTTGCCCGTGTGTGCTGTGAACTTCCAGTGGTAGGAGTCCAACCACCGTTTCCCCTCGGGCTGTGGTAGAGGAGTGTCCAGCCTTCCTGGGATACACCCCAAGGTGCCGTGTCCCCCCAAGAGGGGGTGGCAGAGCTACGCAGTAGAAGACACCAGATTCAGTATCTTCACATTCTCAGCTTCCTTTTCTGAATTGTTCTTCTGATGTAACTCACTGCTTTCCAAGTTTCTTATCTGAGTTGCTGTTCGTTTGATTTTATGTATTGAGGCAGTGACATTGGACTCATGGCCAACAGCACTGTAAGGCGCTCTTGAATGAAGTGTAGGTTGACACGTGCATTTTCTTATCAGTTTCTCTACACTTACAAAACAGCAGACACCTTCACTGTGCTGGGGGGCAAAATTACCCACAAAAATTCAAACACATGGCATTGAACAGACTACGTAGGATGCTTGTGTGCAGTGTTAGAACGGAGACAAGAAAGCAGTGTTGCTTGTTTGACCTCAGCTAGGGCAACTCAAAGCTTTCCTGCTCTGCATGTTAGCTGAGTGTGATCCCGTCAGTAAACACACACCGAAATTAGGGACCAGGAAGCGCATTTCCTTGAGTGTACAAGCAAGGAGCCAGGTTCTCATAATCTAACCCCTGATCAGCAGACCTTGGCGTTTACACAATTGTAAACAAGTACATACATACAGGAAGCATCAGTTACACAGGTTGATACAGGCTTGTGTCCTCTGCACAGTGAAGCGAAGCCGAGGACGCTGAATGTTCCTCAAACGGTGTGATTTTTTAAAAATATATGTATATGTTAAGGAGTCCTGTGGCACAGGAAGTTAAGAATTGGGCTGTTAACCAAAGGCTGGCAGCTGGAACCCATTACTCTGTGGAGTAATGGCAGTCTGCTTCTGAGAAAACTCCATGGGGCAGTTTTACTGTCTGTGACACTGAGGTATCAAATTAACTCCAGTGCAGACAGTGTGGGGTGGAGCTCCCTGATTAAAACACGCTTGGAAGCAGGAGTGGCATCTACTTCCAAAACCTCCGGAAACACAATGAACCTGGAGAGAAGATGAAAGACACACAAGCGTTGAGGACTCTCCTTCATAGGGTCACTATGAGTCACCTGCGACGGCACTAACAACAACATGGTGGTTATGATTCAGAATAGACTTGATGGTATTGTGAGTGAGACCTCTTGCTCAGCCCAAGTTCCTGTTAGTCATTGGCTTTTTCTGTGAGTGATCTGGGTAGATGATCTGTGGCCCTTTCTTGGTGTGTGTGTGTCCTGACCATGGTTTGTTGTTTCGGTTCTTATGCTGTCTTCTTTTTGTGAGACACTGTAGATGCAGGGCAGCTTTGAGGCGCTCAGTGCTGGCCAGGCACAGCCGTGCAGACACAGGAATTTTAGCCAGTGGATTCACAAATAAGTGACTGTCCTCCAAGTCTTTTTTTCAATCCAGATCTGAGACCAAACCACGCTACTCTTGGTGGGAGAGGGCTCGCACTTGGGGTAGAACTGGGTCCTGGATTATTCTCCAGGCTGCTGTGCTCAGGCCTCCCTCGCTTCTTTCTGCAGTTTGCACGAGCTCGTGAGGCATGAGGAAAATGGCCTGGTCTTTGAGGATTCGGAGGAACTGGCCACTCAGCTGAAGGTAGGTTCTGGCAGGCTGAGGGCCTATGGGGCACAGGATGGAGGGGAGACGAGGGAGCAAGGATGAGCAGGCTGGCTGTACTCCGTTATGAAGGCAGCTATGCTAACCACTATACCACCAACGCCGCCATACCCCTTTTGATGTCACCATTTCATGGCCTCAGTGAGTTTGGGGAATTGGGACAATCTCCCATGTTCCCTGGGAGCTTATATTATAGATGGTGAGAATCATTGAGAAGTTGGGGTCAGGAAAGGAGGGTAGAGGGAGCTTTCTAGACCATCCATTGAAAGGTGGAAGGGTTCTTAAAATGTAGTTCTTCCCCCCCGCCCCCAAATTGAGGTCAAAATATATACAACAGAACAGACTGGTTTAGTAATTTTGACACACAGGGCTCAGCAACACTGATGACATTCTCCAAGTTGTACAGCATCCCCCCCACCCTTGTCCAGCTCTTCCCACCACCGTGAACATCAGCTCAGTGCCCCTAAGAGAACATTCCCCCTTCCTCTGCCCTTCCCCAGTCACTGCCTTTGGGTGACCTCTGATGTGGAGCAGTCCTAACAGGACAAGTTAGAACAGCTCATCGGGTTTCTGAGCCTGTGACCTTTGGGGAAGCTGACTAATCTCCCTTTCACTGGTGGGTTTGAATCACCAATGCTTTGGTTAGTGGTCCAGCTCCTACCCCATCATACCACAGGGCTATTGAGACGACTGCTCATCTTTGGTCCCTCTGCATTTGCTTGTTGCATGGAAGGAGGGTCATGCAGTTATCTGTCCATTTGTGACTTTTTTTACTCTGCGTGTGTTCATGATTCATCCATGCTGTGGGCAGAGTCTGGGGCTGCTCTTGGTGGGACGGGGAGGCAAGGGTGCTGATGAGTGAAGTCCTGGTGCTCGTGTTTCTTGTAGACACTTTTCTCAGAGTTTCCTGATCCTGCTGGCAAACTGAACCAGTTCCGGAAGAACCTCCAGGAGTCCAGACAGCTTCGCTGGCATGAGAGCTGGACTAGGACCGTGCGCCCTCTCTTGGTGGACATATGATCATGAAGTAAAGAGATGGGACTCTTTGAGGGGACTTCGTGCTGGATGTTGAACTCACCCAACCACATGTCCCCATCTTGCTCTCACCTCTCATCCTGAGCCCCCTCCTCTCCCTGACCTCTCATCGCAGCCTCCTCTGGCTCTGCTAGCTGAATCCGGTCCTGGTCCCTATAAACATGGTGCTGTGCAGCACCACCCAGTGGCAGGAAGCAGAATGCCACCTGTGAAGTCACCCCTTCACAGGCCAGGAGTGGGGTCCTTCCTCCTGGCTTCCCTGGAGATGATGGGACATCTCCACCTTCTTTGCTTCTGTACCGCAGCTCATCACTTGTCCGTCGCCTCTGTGTGACTTTCCCCTGCCTCTCCCGGATCAGGTTTGTCCGCTGTCAGAGATCTGGGTCCTGACTTGGGGGAACAGGCTGCCAGGTGCTGCACTGTTGAGGCTGATGCACCATGTGAGTGGTGTGGCTTCTGACGGACACCAGGGGCGCACGTACTTGATGTCTGTATTTTTTACAAATGAAATCCTTCTCTGTGAGACAGTTGTCATTTCTGTTTGTGGTGATTTGTGAGGACTCGGGGCTGCCGGTACTCCCACACTTGGATTACGTTACAGTGGCTCCCGATTTGGAACCAAAATACCCTGTTGGGTCAAAGTTCTCTCAGCTTTGCCACGGTGATGCTGTTCCATGGTGGCCCGGCCCCGCCGTCTGTGAGACCTACAGGGTGAGTCTCAGCATCTCCATCTCACAGAGCTCGTCATAAGGAAAGAGTTTCTGGTCGTGACCAGGCATCGCTTCCCATGGCATCCCAACTTGGCCTGAGGACAGAAAGCACACGTGTCAGCACAGTGGTCTCAGGACAGGACACAGCCTGTGTGTGCTGGGCTGCAGGACGGTGTTCTCTCTCTCTCTCTGTGTGTGTGTGTGTGTCTGTGTAGGGGTCGGTGTATGGGTAGGGCTGGCTGGTGTGAGGATGGGTCTGGCCTGGAGGGGGCAGTGTAGGGCTGTGTGGCTGTATGAATGGCTGGCCTCTCTGTGTTCCCTCCAGCTCCCCACCCTGAACACCCTGTGCAGAGGCCCTGCTCCAAGTATGGTACAGGTTCACCTTGCTCACATCCAAGGTGTCCAGTGTATAGACGAGGCTACTCCACTCCCCACAGCAGGGCAGCACCAGCCTCTGTCCTTATGCCTCTGTCCTCCACGCAGGGACTGCTGGTGTGTGCCTGGCTTTCTTACTTTCCGTGTTTCCCCATTCCGGCTGACCTGGGGTCCCCTGTGGTGACAAGGCAGCCTGTCATCCAGCAGGAGGGCCTGGGACCCTGGGGCTTACCCAGCTGTGCTGTGAACAGCTTGCACGTCTCTGGGTTCCTGACAGTGAAGGCAATGTAGGCGTGCACGGCGCGAGGGCCGCTCCGGCACTCCGAGAGCTTCTGCAGCACCCCGACCAGGGAGTGGACAGTCTCCGGGCAGTACAGCACATCTGCAAAGCAAAGCCGAGGTGACTGCCGGGCTGGAACTCCCGGGAGCATTCAGGGCCTCCAGAGGCAGGGTCCGACTCTGCTGTCCTTAGGCCCGGCAAGTGGCAGCTGTCAGATGCATGTTATTAAACTGAAAAGCTCCTCAACGAGAAGAAAACCACAGGAAAAGGGAAAGGGCAAAGGATGAGACTCCTCGGGACCCCTGGGTGCTGTTCCTTTAAAGGACTCTGGCTGGCTTAGCTCATGTCTGGCTCTGTGGACTCTGGCTCCAGTCTCATCGGAGCTGGTGGGGGGTGGGCAGGCACTCCTGCCTGGAAGGAAGGTGCAGGGGAAGGGGCCAGGCTCCCAGCCCTGGCAGGACCATGGGTCTCAGCCAAAGCCCTGCACAAATGGCTGCATTCAGCAGGGATTGAGATCTCGGGTTGGCCATACCAACTACCACCTTCCCAGACACCATTCTCATAGCGGAAAAGACTGGTTTCCTCCTGAAAGACAGGGCTGGGGACCTGGAGAGATACAGAGGTCCCAGGGACATAGACGAGGGGGATGTCTGTGACACTGAGGACCCCAGAGCCGACAAGATGAGGTCACACTGGGGCCGCCTTCCCTGACCAGCCTGCTTCTGCACTCTGACCCAGTGCCATCTCAGGCCTGGTAGGTGGATGTGCGGAGGAACTGCGTGGTGCTGTGAAACCAGGGAACAGGCTTCCGTGTCCATTTCTGCCGCCCCCTAGAAACAGTGGCTGCCTGCATCTCAGAAGAGGTGGGAGGACAGAACAGGTCGGGGGAGTGTACAGCCCTCTAACATGTGGCTAATGGGACTATTCAGTGTAGCTCTGATGGCAATGGACACGCTCCGCTCAGGAACCGGGGAGTGAGATACAGTTTGTGAAGCTGGGGCCTTGGCCCGTCAGTTTCCAGCCATGCTAGAAAGGAGGTGGGTTCATAGCAGGGCGTGGCCATTGTATGAAAGGAGAACCCACCTCAACAAACGAATGAAGAAATTGTGCCACATTCATACACTGGAATACTATGCAGCACTACGAGCAATGAGTTCATAGATAATATATAACGTATGTAGAGAGCATCACGCCGAGTGAAATAACAGACTCATAAGGACAAACAACTGTGTAAGAGCACTACTGTGAAAATAGGAACATAACTGGGCAAGATGTACATAAATGTTCAAAAGGGGAAGGGGAAAAAGAGAACTAAGTCAAAAGAGGAAGAGAGGGAAAATCAGAGAGAGCAGAGCCTGGTGAGCAGATGGAGGGGGTGAAGGAATAAGAGTCAATGGGGACTTGAAAATGTAGGCTGATAACAGCATAAATCAATGTTAACTAATGATACAAAGTACAGCTTATATAAATGACACAATGTACGTGGGAAACAAAGGAGCCCCTGCTCCTGTCCCTTCCAGCCCCCTGGAGATGGACCTCCACACCCTGCGGCTCTCAAGACGTCCTGGGCCCCCTCCCTGCCCTAGTGCAGCCATGGCTCCTTCCTGATGGGCGAGCCCATGCAGCTGCAGGAGGACCCAGCGCTGTACCTGCTGCGAGGACCACATCTGGCTGGAAGGCAGCGAGCTGAGTGGTCGTCGCAAGGTCCCAGTCCAGGTGGGTCACCTTCACAGCTGGCTTTTCTGCATCTTCACTCTTGGGGGGCTGCTGAGGAGCCGGGACATCGGGCTGCAGTGACAGCCCGTTCAGCAGGATGTTCCCTCGCAGCTGCTCGAGGACCCGGCTGTGGCAGTCACTGAAGATGTAGGTTCTGGGATGACACGCCCTGCAGATGGCCAGGCCGGTGAGGCCAGCTCCGCTGCCCAGCTCCAGGATGTTCCTAGAGATAGTGAGAGAATTGGCAGCAGTGTGGGGCAAACCCGGCTGAGTGCCCACCGCCCTGCCTGGGGCCTCTCAGTGCTACCTGCCAGCAAAGGCTGCTGGGTTCTCCAAGGCCCACTCTGCCAGGTAGAGGGCGGCGTTCCATGTGACCAGGCCTGTGGTGCCATGGGACACGATGGCCGTGCTCTCTGAGAGGGTGACCGCGTCTCCGAAAGGCTGGTTGAGAGATGGAGGGGAGGGTTTGCCCGTTACCAGAATAAAAGCAGCTGCTTTGATACAGAGTTAAAAGAACCACCACCAGTGAGGGCAAAGTTGACCCATCCTTCTGTGGATATCACTCAGAAGATGACTTTTTTTTTATCAGTTGCATCTTTTTTTTTTTAATTATTTTTCATTTCAATGAACATCTACAGAGATTTTGGGATTCCATTCATTCACTGTTGCACCCCTCTCCCCACCCACCTTCATTTTCTTTTTCTTATTAATTTCAATGAACATCTACAGAGATTTTGGAATTCCATTCATTCATTGTTGCACTTTTCTCCCCACCCACCCCAAGAAGATGACTTTTTAAACTGCTTTTGATGGTCTTGATTGATGGGTGGTGGTGGTCTTCGGGGATGATTGTGTGACTAAGTTGAGAGAAGGCAAATAGGTACTTAGAGGCTGTCCTGATACTATCCATCCCTACCTGGCACAAGGGTTTGCTAACATAAAAGGTGGTTCAAAACCACCCCACAGCTCTGCGAGATAAAGACCCGAGATCCACTCCCACTAAGTATCAAGCCAAGATTGCATTCTGAGGCCGTTTCAGACGGAGCAACTGAAGACGGGACCAGAGAACCTGCAAAGAACCTTCTTCAAATGCGTGTGTACGAGTCTCGCTTAAGACTCTTCTCGTATTTCTCACATGTTGAGAATGCTGAAGCTCTCCAAAACCATGCTGCTGTTCACCTTATGGAGCATCCTGTGTTTACTGAAAATGGGGACCCTTCCCAGGTCAGGGAGAGAGGGATCCTGAGGTCCAGGAAGGAAGGAGGACCATCGCCTGGCAGATGAAATGATGACCATCTGTTTTAGCTCAGTTACTCTACTTTTACACCAGCCTGTGAAGCATCAGCCACAGGCTGGAAGTGCCTGTGTTCAATTCTTTCCTCACCCTGCAATGTGACATAAGGTGGAGGCGGCCTAGGAAGGCAGGCCTGGTGATCTACTTCTCAAAACCAGCCAATGAAACTCGCTGGGTCACTAGGGTCTCCTCGGGAAGACAATGGGACGGTGGAGGACTGGGCCAGCCTTTGCTCCACTGTGCACGGGGTACCACGAGCTGGGGTGCTGAGGAGCAGCTAAGCTCACGGGCCTCCCAGGACCCCCTGCTGTGTTCTTGCTGAAGGAATGTGACTGAGCTGTGATGGTGGCAGAGGTCAAGGAGACAGCCATCCATCCCACTCATCCACCAGGGGTTCACTGAGGACCAGGTGCGGGGACCCTCGTTAAGCAATTAACATGCAGGGTCTCATTGAATCCTCACTGTTGTTACATGCCGACTCACTGTGACCCTGTGAACAGATCTGAACCCTTTCCTATCCTGAGCCATCCTCTTCATCTCCAACACACTTGTGCCCATTGCTGCAGTCACTGTGTCAATCAATCACACTGAAAGTCTTCCCCTTTCCAAGGAATAGCCCCTCCTAACATAAGGTTGGAAAAAAGAAAAACCAAACTCGGTGTTGGTGAGTTCATTCCAACCCTATGTGACAGGGCAGAACTGCCCCAGAGGGTTTCAAAGGTGGTCAATCCTTTGCAAGCAGACTGCACAAAGCGGCCGCTAGGTTCTAACCACTCACTAGTTGGCAGCCATGGTGCCACCAGGGCCCCTGATTATTTGTTAAAACAGCTGGCTTGCAGAAGAGGGAACTGAGGGTCCAGAGGCGAACTGATCTCAGAGCTGAAAGAGCTGGATCTGCCCCACGTGGGACTGCCTGGAGTCACGTCATTTTCAACTGACTCTGAAGGACCCCATGTCTGGTGTATACGTGGGGGAGGAAGGTACATGGCTCCTACCAGCAAATAGCTCCGGTGGCAGCAGGGGGACTCCTCTGTGGTCAGGACCTCCGCCAAGGCCTGGTACAGCTCATCCAAGGGCTCCGTGTGGACAGCCTCGTGCTGGGGACGGACAAGACGGACTTGAGAGGATGAGGCTGGCTTTTATGAAAAACACCGGGCTTGCCTGCCTTTACTCAGACCGTGAACACAACTTGAAGGGTAAATTCCAAATACCCACGGACTGACAGAATGGCAGAGACCCTAAGAGGCCCGGGCGCACTGCGCTCTGTTTGGCTACCACTGGTGAGTCAGCTGTGACTCCTGGTAGTGTGGTTCATAGCGTGATGCGCTGCTAACCCAAAGGTCTGAACTCTGGCGGTTCAAACCCACCAGCGGCTCTGAGAGAAAAAAGAGAGGCAGTCTCCTCCAGTGAAGATTTACAGCCTTAGACACGCCACGGAGGGCTGCCAAGTAAGAACAAACGGACAGCTCTGAGGGATTTTTGAGTTTGAGTGAGTGACCTGGCAGGACAAAGGACTGGCCCACCATGTTTACCAGGCTGCCACCTTAACGGAGCAGGTGCTTAATCATTCTGCCACCAGGGCTCCTTTTTTGCACCACCTGGACAGAAACTAAACTCCAAAACTCACTGCCGTCCGCCAATCCCGACTAATAGTGGTGACCGTACAGGGCAGGGCAGAACCGCCACTTGGGGTCTCCAAAGCCATACTCTAAGGTGGCATGCTTCCACATCCTCCTCCTTGGAGGGCTGGCTGTCTAAAATGCTTTACCACTGCATCACTAGGGCTGCTCTACACTGCGTACTAGTGTAAAAAGGTTGGCGATTTGAGCCCATCCAGAGGGAGCACAGGGAGCTCTGGTGGGTGGCCTATTGGTAAGGAGTTGCACTGTCAACCCAAAGGCATGTGGTTCCAATCCACCAGTGGCTCCATGGGATAAAGATGGGGAGAGCCTCTGAAAACCTGCAGGAGGATCAGCTATGAGTCAGTTCTAACTAGCTGGGACACAACAAGTAGGGTGGCACAGAAGAAAAGCCTGGAGATCTACTTCCATTTAAGACAGCAGTTCTATCCTGTAGCACATGAGGTCGCTGTGGGTTAGAATTGACTAGACACCGGGTTTGGTTTCTGGTTTGACTTACCAGAGGCTACTTGGTATATACTCACGTGTTGGGGGTATCTAAGGGAGGACACCTCAAAGACAGGTGCTGTCACCTTCTAGGGCAACAGAAACTAAGGGTCCCTGAAAAGAGAATGAGCACCAGCAGGAACCCGAAGGATGAGCACCCCAAGTCTCACTCAGCGATTGACATGGGCAGCCACCATCAGTTTTCTGGGGAGCAGCAGGGGGAATCTGATGAGGGTCCTGCTGCTCCTGGGAGGGGCTGGGGAGATGCTCTGCTCTTGGGGACTAAGCAGATGGGCTGTCCTGCTGAGAAGTGGGGTGAGGACCAAAGAAGCTGGGACTGCTCCGTGAACTGGGCCTGGGCTAGTTGCTGGGTAACGAACAAGTCTGCTTCTGATCACCAAGGGGTCACCTCAGAGAGGTCCAGTCTCACGAAACCGCTGCGTGATCAGGCTCGTCCTTATAAATCACCCTGTGTCTGTCGGGAAAAGCTCGCACAGCAGGTGGTTAATGGGGAGAATGTGGGCAGGAACTAGTGACAAGAGTATTGTTTGTTGTGTACGGTGGAGTTGGAACCGAGTCATAGATGACACTCCAGAAGGTTTTCAGAGGCAGTAAATCACGCAGGAGGAGACTGCCCTATCTTATTTCCGTGGAGCAGCTGGTGGATTCAAACTGCGTACCTTTATGCTGATGGTGTAATTCCTTACCACTAAGCCACCGGAGCTCCTCACAGGGTACCGGAGCTAAAACTCTGCAGAGGGGCCAGCAATTCACTAGGGCAGGAACTGTGAATCCCTGGGCTGGAGGAGGAAGGGGAGGTGGTGGGGTTTCCGGCGCACAGGGGCAGGGACAGCCTGGAAGGAGTGAGCTGCAGGTGGGGGAGCCAGAAGCACAGAGGACACACAGGGGATGCTGGGAAGGGAACTCAAAGAGAAGAACTTCCTCTGCCTCTCCCTCCAGCCTCCACAGCCTCTCACTGGTCGAACCAGCTGCAAGACCATTTCCAAGAAGCCCTATGCCCAGTTCCCAGAGGCTACGGACTGGAGGCTGCCATCACTGACCTTCTTGATAAGCTTTATGAGGAAGCCATGCAGGAATTTCACCGATGGGGGATGCTTCACACACAGGGGATGTTTCACAGTCTACAAAAGAGAACAAAAACGCTCACTGCCAGGAAGCCCATCTCACCCCAAAGTGCCCTGATGCCTCCCACCCTGGGAGGGCAGGGTCAGGTTATGGATTGCTCTGGCTCCAGGTGTCCCTAGCCCTCCTGTCTTGGTCTCCTAGTGCTGCTGTAACACAAATATCAGAAGTGCTGGCTTTAAAGAACAGAAAGGCACTTTCTTGCCAATCAAAGTCTGGACCATACTTAGTCCTTCCTTGTCAACATCAGAGTGTTCCTTGGTTCCTTGGCTGTAGACAATCCCTGCATGACATCTATTCCCCTTGCTTTCTCTATGAATCGGAATCTAATCCAATCTTTGTACAGCTCGGAATGATAGCGTGCTAGAATTAACCCAATTCATGAAGCCCTGCTTCAAAACATGGGACAGCATTCCCATGTAACAGGGTGAAAGCTGTGCCCTATTTCTAGAGGAACACAATTCAACACCTACCACACTTTATGAAAGAAGCCTTTTCTAAAACACCTGCCTTTTCCTTCACAGTTACACAAACTTGGAAGGTGTTCCTAAGGCCCTTAGCGGGGAGGGACATGGGATCCCTGGATCCCTATGGTGGGGAGTGGGTCCAGCATGAATTGAAGTTTGTGGGGAGGACTTCAGTCAGCTGTGCATGGCTTCCTGGGGATGTGAGGCCCCAGCCAGAGGGAGCCAGGCTGCATGAGGCAGATGTGGACCAAAGGACTGTGGTCAAGGCCCAAGCTTGGGAGACAAGGTTCCTACCCCAGGGCATCACCGAGGCTTTAATGGACCTTACAAACCAACTGGACACATTATTTCAATATTCATTCACTCTATTGCAAAGGTCTAGAACAAAGATCGTTAGATAGTTCTGAGGTATACTTGCTGTCATGGATTGAACTGTGTGTGTCCCCCACCCCCAAATATGTGTATGTAATGGAAGCAGGAGCAGCATCCACTTCCTAAACAACATGCCTCCGGAAACTCTATGAACTTTGATAAATGTTGATAGTTGTAGAGGGGCTCAGGCCTTTTGTTCTCAGGGTCACTTTGAGTCGTGCTTGACTTGAAGGTAATCAACAATAACAAGAATGTTGTAAAAGGGAGCTCTGGTTGCTTAGTGGTAAGGAACTGCACTGTCAACGCAGAGGTTTGTGGTTCGAATCCACCAGCTGCTCCAGGGGAGAAAGAAGGGCAATCTCCTGTGCAATTTACTGCCTCTGAAAACCTGCTGGAGGGTCAGCTGTGGGCTGGCTCTGACTCAACAGTACCCAGTAATGACATCTTGGGAGCTCAAGTGGCCTCCAAAGAGCTGTGCTGCTAACCTGAATGTAGTGCCTTTCTAGAGCTTTGAACGCACTTGCTGCTCCATGGGAGAAAGACGGGCCATCTCCTGGAACTTAGGAAAAGATCCTCCAGGATCTGAGAAACCAAACTGTTCTGAGAGGCTCAGGAGTGACATGCAACACATCTAAGCCCATCTCAACTTGGATCTACGTAGGTGAAGTTTCCCTAGAGTGTGGCTGGTGATACTTTTTATCTCACAAGAGATAAAAGGAAAGCGAAACTCCAGCAGAGATGGGAGAAGCTCAGCATGAACACAACAGAGGAGCTGGGCGTGGAGCATGTACTGTGGGCCCAGCTCCCATGCTGGGAAGCTCCCTGACATAAGGGAAAGCTAAGAAGCATGGGGATTTGCAAGGAATGCTGGGCCTGCACCTGCTGGAAGGAATGATCCAAGAAATGGAAGCCTGCACCCTGGATTCGGCCTTCTAACCTCTTAAACAAGAAAAGAATAATTTCTGCTTATTAAAGCCATGCGCTTTGCTAGCTCTGTCATAGCAGCACTATGACACTGAGACACCAGCACCCTGGTGTCTCCAGCTGAGAAATAAAAGGGTCAGTGACGTCTGAGGTGGTGACAACAAAATGCAGCACTGACCGTTTTCTTCAACAAACATGCCTGCCGCACTTGGCATGTCTTCACGAGTGGTCAGGAGGCCAAGTACAGGTACCTGTGAGTCCGTGACTCTTGGAATAGTTCTGTCAAGTTGAAACTGACTCGTGGCGACATGAGTGTCAGAGCAGAACTATGCTCCTTTTTAAAATACAGTTTTTGCTGTGAGACTACACACATACGTGAATTTCACAGTCTACTCCTATCGTTCAGTGACAAGGATTCCATCTCCAAGTTGCCCAACCAATCTTACCTTTCTCTTTCCATTAACATAAACTCTCAAAGTCCCCTAAGTTTTTATCTAAACTTTTCAGTTGCTGTTATGAAATTAGTACATTATAGATAGAACTTAAAGACCATACTTTTCAAAGCAGTTAAATGAAACTGTTACTAACTTGAAGGAACTCTGGTGGCCTAGTGGCAAGAAGCTGTGCTGCAATTCCGAAAGCACGTGGTTCAAGGCCATCAGCTGCTCCACAGGATAAGGATGGGCAATCTCCCGCTGGAGGGTCGGCTATGGGTCTGACTGTACAGCACACAACAAGAACAGCAACATTAGTAACCTGTTAGTTTCCAGTTGAGTCGGAGCCAATCCATAGCTGGCTCTCTAGGTTTTCAGATGGATTAAATCACACAGGAGAACGCCCATCTTTGGATTTGAACCACATACCTTTGTGTTGGCAGCACAATTCCTTACCACTAAGCCACCAGAGCGCCCTACTGTTAACAAGCTAAGCTAAATTACTGTCTGGTTTGAAGAAGATAGAAAATTTTGACTCAAGCTCTAAAGACAATCACAGAGCACTAGTTTTGAGGCTTCACAAAGTCTAGATTCTATTTCCCCCCTTTTGATCAGGTTTCTTTTCTAAAGTCTTTGATGAAAATGTTCAGTCATGATAGCTGGGCATAGTCTCGTCTTCCTGCTCTCCTGGCAAATGCTTCATAGGGTTTTCAACGTTAATTCTGGGAAGCAGATTTCTAGGCTTTTAGTCTGAAGTGCCTCTCAGTGGATTCAAAAGCAGCCAACTGTTGACGATCTTAACTGTGTCTATCACCCTGAGACCCGCTGGGACTCTTACCTTCTGCAAAATATCCAGTAGCAGCTGTGAATCTGAGGAGTCCCTTAACTTCTCTTCTAGGCTCTATTCAAGGGAGAGTTTAAGAGAGAGAGAGAGAGCGCACACACATGATGTCAAGGGCATTTCACAGGAACATTAAGCATGCAATAGCAAGTGCTGGCAAGGTGCTTAAATAATCCCTCCCCAGGGACCTGGGGCCAATCAGAAGTAGAGGCTCCGGGGGCTGAGAGCGTGACCTTGTGATATCACGGGAACATGTGGACGTGTCAAAAAGAGGCCAGCCTGAAGCCAGACGCCTGGCTCACATTAGCCCCTGCCGCTTGGCTGCCATGTGGGTCACACACCAGAAACATAGCTGAGCCGATAACACCAGGACACATGCCTCAAACCTCAGAGTTCACACAGAAACACAGGACATGCAAATGCCAGACCTGGTTATATAATCAGAGGGCTTGAGCCCAGCAGCTCACTCCAGCTCCCAAGTCAGTCTGACTGTCACAGCAGACACATGACATCAGCTAAGTCCCATTTCCTCAGGGATCCTTGTTATTAGGTGCCATCAAGTAGATTCTGACTCATAGGGCCCCCATGTGACAGAGCAGAACTGCCCAGTAAGTTTTTCTTGGATATCATCTTTACACAGGGTGGGTCTGAACCTCCAGCCTTTAACTCTCATAACAGTAGGGCTTCATGCCCTCAGAGCCCTCCTCTCTTTGACCTCTCCTGCTACCCTACCCCATCTCTGCTCACTCCCGTCCAGCCACAATAGCCTCCTTGGTGTTCCAAGGACAACAGAGGGGAGGACTTGGTGTTCCAAGGACAACAGAGGGGAGGACTAAGAACACGAAGTCCGAAGTCCGAAGTCCGTGGAGATAATGCAGACCTGATTCCAGCATTCCAGCCCACTGAAATAAAGCTAATGATTGCAACAAATGCAATCACACAAATCTTTTGGTTTCCTAGGGACCAGTCCCGGGAAAAAGATATGCTAGGAAAGGCAGAGAATCATCATCAAAAGAGAAGATCTTCACGATGGATGGACACTGACTACAACAAGGGGCTTAAGCCTGGAGGATAGGGCAGGGCAAGTTTCCGATCTGTTGTTCACAAGGTTGCGTTGAGTTGCAGTCCACTTAACAGGACTTAACAAGAAGTTCCTAAAAGGGAGCTCTGATGGCAGAGTTCCTAGGAATTTGTGCTGTTAACCTAGAGGGCTGCATCTCTCTGGCAATTCAAATCCACTAGCGGCTCCACCAGAGAAAAATGGACAATCTCCTCTCATAGTTATTCTAAGAGGGATAGATTTACAGCCTTGAAAACCCTATGAGGCATTCCTATCTGGTCAGACAGGCTCACTAAAAGTCAGGATTGACAGCTCTGAGTTTGGTTTGGTGCTGACCAATCATGGAAAACTCAGTAGAGGGTCAACTACGAGTAGATTCTGAACTGAAGGCAGTTAGTGGGTGAGTGCGAAGAACTCTGGTGGCCTAGTCCGCAGGGCGTTGTGTTAACCCACGGGCCATCTATTCACCAGGGGTCTGTGGGAGAAAGATGGACAATCCCCTCCTGTGCCAACTCAACGCCTCAGAAATCCAAGGGAGGGTCAGCAGTGAGTCTGTTCCAACTTGATGGCAATGAGTTTGTAGCTTATATAAAAGTTGTGTTGCATGATGAGAAAGTTTGCAATACTGTGAGTTACTGAAATGTAGCAAAGAGACAGCACGTGAGCTGTTGGGGGAAAACGGCACAGAATTGTCCCAAGTGGTGTTGTCACAAATCTTCAATATGTTAAAAATGCTAGATGTGCAAAGTGCAGTAGGAGGAAGCAGGGCCATGCTCCAATGCAGTCATTCCAGTGACCACATTTCTGGACCACCGCCCATAAGAAGCCCTATGTCTGCAGTCACCTGTCGTGGCTACAACACAGGATCCCAGGCTGGGGAGACCCTCTCTGATTTCTTTTCCAATCTCTTTTGTACCCTCTTGGCACAGTGGCTTATCGAATTCCAAAATCAATCTCCATAATAGTCTATGTGTTTCCTACTGCCAAAGGGGCCCTTTAGAGTAGTGAGAGAAGATCTTCACCCTGAAACCCACAGCGTCCCTTTTCAGCAGGAAGTAGCTAAGAGAATACGCCGTCCCCTTTTCCTTATGACTCAGGGTGAAGTCTCTCTCAGGGAGGAGTGATAGGGAATGGCAAAGGATACACTGACAAAGAAGATTAATCAGAACTGGCTTTGACAAGCACTGTGGCATTTGGACAAGAACAAACTGGGAGGAGGGTAGAGAGAATAGTGCAACAATGAATGAGTGGAAGCCCAAAATCTCTGTAAATGTTTATGAAAATTAATAAAATATAATTATAGAAAAAAAATAAAGATAACAGCTTTGGCAATCCCAGAGAACAGTTCTACTCTGTCCTCCAAAGTGGCTAGGAGTTGGAATCGGTTCATCAGCAACCACAGGCACTACATCCCTTCCCCAGAGGCAAGGCTAGAAGTGTCCAGCAGTCTCGCCAGCGATTTAATCCAATGCCTGATGATTCTGATGGGAACACTGAGGCTAAGGGCTGGGGCTTGGCCAAGGGCCACGCAGCTGTTGTTTCGCAACGACTGAGAAGGCAAATGGCTTAAAACACAATTCATGAAAATGACCGTGAACAGTCAGTCACTCTGAAAACCAGATAAGGAGTCGTCGTTGGAAAAAATGTTCCTGGGGAAAAAAAATCCTACACTCAAATCTGTAGGGCTCTGAGGTTAAGCCAGAGTGGGGCTCACCAAGAGGCTAGTTCCCTGGGGACACGCACCAATAACCAAAAGGGACTCAGCGCGAAGGCCCGAGCCTGAGTGCTGTTTTGATGCAAAAGCTCCCAGCTCACGATGCACAATCTTGCACGGAGGGGTGTGTCCTCTCTGCTAAATCAGGGCATATAACCTGAGTACCAGAGCGTGCACCCAAGCTCACGTGGCAGGAGCCCCCTCCACCCTGGGTACTTTAGCTAGGCCAAGGAGCTGCCCCATCGCCCCCAAGTCCACGCTCCGCTTCCCGCGCACAGCCACCCACCTGCCAAGGGAAGGAGCGCAGCGCGCGCGCCGCCAGGAAGCGGCGCTGAAAGCTCTGCAGCAGATCTACATCCTCACTTTCCTTCGGCGCCATGGCGGTACGTGGCGGTGGGCGTTGCCGAGGAGACCGAGCGGAAGCGAGGCTGGTTCCGGGAGGAGGCGGGTCCGAAGGCGGGGCTAAGGCCCTGCTCAAGACTCTTGAGGTGGGGCTAACGTACGCAAGGTCCTTGGGAGGCGGGGCTTAGGCCCTGGAGGCGGGGCTTATTCCTGCAGAGAGAAAATGCTGGCCCTGGTTAGTGGGGCTCGTGGGTGGAAGCCAGAGCCTAGAGGCGGAGCTTAAGACCGGAAGGCGAGGCTTAGAGCGGAAGCCAATCGCATGCACAGGGGCTTGGGGGCGGGTCTTATAGTTCGGGGGGTGGAGTTTACTGTTTGGGGCGGGGCTTATGACAGGAAAGCGGGATTTTGAGGCTAGAAGGCCCGAAGTCCAAGATTCCTGCACTTTCTCGAAGTCTTGGCCGTGGTGACAGTTCCTGCAAGTGTGACAGCAGGCTTAATGCAACCCTGCTCTCTCCTGTCACCTTTCTGAGACCCAGCGAGATGGAACCTGCCTTCATGGCGAATAGTTGAAGGACGCGGCGCAGGCTCAGGCCATCGCCTGCCTCCCTCTTGTCCTTGGAGAATGGTTCAAGGTAGGAGGCTCCCGGCCCCAACCTGTGTGTCGGCCCCTAAGTCCACCAAGCACTCCCAGGCACTGGGCATGCAACAGTGATAATAACCAGGCAGATTTCTCCACCGCTCCGGATTCCTGCGCAGAAAGCAGATATTGAACTAATTGTTGTTAGCTTTTTTTGTTGTTGTTTTATTTTTTTAAATTAATTTTAATGGAAGTTTACAGAGACTTAGGGTTTCCAGTCATTCATTGTTGCACTTTTCTCCCCCCCACCCCCAAATTATTGTTAGCTTTGAGTGCATTCTGGACTCAACTCATGGTGACCCCATATGTGGAGAGTAGAATGGTCCCATAGGGTTTTCGAGGCTCGGCCTTTTGGAAGCAGATCTCAAGGTCTTTCTTCCGAGATTGTTCTAGGTGAATATGAACTATCAGCCTTTAGGGTAATTGTCACGCACTTAACCATTTTTTCCCACTCAGGGATTCTGTTCAACAAGTTTTCTCTAAAATAAATGAGAAATACAAAGGTAGTTGTTGTGTACCATAGAGTCGGAACTGACCCATAGCTTCCCCTCCAGGGGGATTTTCAGAGGCAATTCATCACAGTGGAGGGGACTGCCCATCCATCTCCTGCAGAGCAGCTGCTGGCCTTGAACCACATGCCTTTGGGATTGCAGCACAGCTTCTTGCCACTAGGCCACAAGCCAAAGGTGATTGAGCCTTGAGAGCTTACAGGAAGAGTTGTGACTGCTGAAATCTGTAAAGTAGAAGTTGGTTTGTGTTTGTGTGCATAGACATGGCGATGGGGAGAATGGAAAAGCACAAAATAATTCTATTTAGTTGCGCGGAATTGTGTCTTGAGCTGGAAGGGAGCGCAGCTCGCAGCCCACGGGTTCTGCTTTTGGAATATGAGCTGTTTTCAAGGTCTGGCACCTTTACCTTAGCTAATCTTTCATAAAAATTCCATTTGGATGAGCCCGGAGACTTAATTCGTTAAATAGACTTGCAGAAGGTAGATGAGAGGACAGATTAAATCTTATTACCTCTTTCAGATGAGAATCACTTAAACCCTACACAGCTATGAGGGCAAAAAAGGAATTAATTCTAATGGAAGTCAATTAGTTTCTCATATCTTGTTTTTGCTCCATAAAGTGAGAACAGGATTTAACAATGGGGGAAGAAAGGTCTTTTGTTTCCCAATTGAAATTAGGAAATTTCCTAATTTGAAATAAATAAATAAATCAAAATCATGAGGTAATTATTAAACATTTTCATTAAAATAAATCATTTTAAAACAAATTCAAATTGCTATTAGATAAGAGAAACAGTTTAATTATATTTAAATATTATTGAAGCCATGAGTATCTTAGTATCTAGTGCTGCTGTAACAGAGATAGCACAAGTGGATGACTTTTTTTTTCCTTTTCTAAATTTTTTTTAAATTAATTTTAATGAACGTTTACAGAGACTTAGGGTTTCCAGTCATTCATTGCGGTGCTTTTCTCTTACGCACCCCCTCCCCCCCCAATTCATTCTTCTCCTTGAAAAGAAAAAAAATCTTTCATTGTTATGCAATCCCTTCCCCCAAGTCCTCTCCACTAGGCAGCCTTCACTCTGGACTTCTGTAATGACAAGAATACCCATTCATATGTTGCTTTTAAACAGTTCTCTCTCTCATCTGTTTGAATGCAATATACTTCATTCCTACCCTTTTAACAAGCAGAATTTTTTTTTTCTCTTAATATTTAAGAAGCTAGAAATCCAAATTCAGTGTGCTGGCTCCAGGGAAAGCCCCTCTCCCCTCTCTGTGAGCTCTGGATCGAGGTCCTTATTTCCTTCAGCCTGGGTAGGTCAATGTTCTTGGAGATCGTCATGTGTTCTGGCTTCCCCTGATTTCAAGGAGCTTCTGGGCACAGGGTCCGAAGTCCAAACATGTACTCCAGGGCATTATTTCTTCGTTGTACTGAAGTCCCCCCTCTCAGCTTGACTTTCTCCCCATTTATCTCTTGTAAGATAAAAGATGTTACAAGACTTACTCTAAATGAGGCCTTCAATAGGATTTAGGGATATTGTATTCCACCCTTCATGCTTCTATAGATACTTGGTTTATCAGATCCTGGAGGATCATTAGACAGCTCAGCATTACATATTTATATGCATTTGGGAGGGTGGATGCAGAACTCAATCCATGACAACCAGTACAAATTTTAAATCGCGGTGGCCATGGCTGCACTGTTACACAGCATCAATAGTTTCTGATGCTAAAATGTTGCCCTAATCCCCTTCATCACGGTATCCAGAGGCAGAGTTACTGAGGGAAGACCAGGAGTCCTAACCCAGACTGATTCGTAGTGGTTTAAGAATGCCGCCTTCAGAACTGAGTCAGGGATGCCGGTGAGCTTTTTCTGTTTTCAGCCATTTTCTGCCTGCAATAGAAAATGGGAATAAATTAGTTAAATTCGTGAAAATAAGCTTTATCTATTATACACGTGATGATACTAATAACTGATGTAGAGTTGACCTGGACTCATGGAGACCTTATGAACAATAGAATGAGGGAGTTCTGATGGCCTAGTGGCAAGAAACTGCACTGCAATCCCAGACATATGTGGTTCAAATCCACCAGATGCTCTGCTGGAGAAGGAGGGGCAATCTCTTCCTGTACCAGTCAGATCCAATTTGACGGTACACATACGAAAAATAATAACATTAAAAAAAACATAAACAGAATAAAACATTGCTTGTAATTTCTAACATGTTCAAGTTCACTGTTGTACGTCCTATGCCAATTTATCTCATTGAAGGTCTCCCCTGTCCTTACTGACATTGCTTCACTAAACATGGTACCCTCCTCCAGGGATTGATCCCTCCAAAAGAATTGGTCAGTGTTCAGTTGCAATGCATAAGGTTTCCAGTGGCTAATTGGCAGCGGTGGATTATGAGGTCTTAGTCTAGAAGCTCCGCTGAAAAATGTCCAGCATGGGTGATCCTACTGGTATTTGAAATACCAGTGGCATTAGCTTCTGGGATTACAGCAACATGTAAGCCACCACACTATGACAAACGGACAGTGTGACATAATACACGTAACCCCAAATAAACATTGCCGCTGGGTCAGTCTCAACTTCTGGCAGCCCTGAATGACAGAGTAGAAATGTCCATAGGATTTCAAGGCTTTATGCAAGCAGAGTGCCCACATGTGCCTTCCCAGGAGCATCTGATGGGTTAAAATTGTTGACCTGGTTACTAACCAATTGCTTAGACAACCACTACCTCTCAGTAATACACATAGATACTAACTACATTTTTGAGGAGCAAAACACTTCAGAGTATGTCATATGTGCAGTGTTAAACTAACCTATTACTAGGCTAGCCCCGCTTTCCTTGTATAAGATGGGATATGGATTGAGAGTGAATCATGAGCGGGTCACAGAACACCTTGAACACAGGGAAGAAAACGTTTATCCTGGGGTATGAGTCCTCGGAATAAACAATCTGAAGAGAAGAAAACCTTTATCCTGGTGTATAAGTCCTCGGAATAAACAATCTGAAGAATATTCAAATGTAATACTGGTTACTCACAAGATTGCAAACTCTTTCCTCGTTAATCAGTTAATGATGCAAAACTGGAACAGAATTTTTAAGACATGAGTTAACCAGAATTGGAGAAATCAGGTCCTTCTAGAGACCTCTCTCCTTAGAAAATAAGCACAGCTTGCAAGCTGCTTAGCGACCGAATCTCTTGAATGGCAAAGTTGAAAACAACAGTATTCTGCTCAAAGATAGTGGCCAGGTAGCCTAGTGGCAAGAAGCTATGCTGCAATCCCGAAGGCCAACGGTTCGAATCCACCAGATGCTCCACTGAAGAAGGAGGGAAAATCTCCTCCTGTGCCAGTCGGATCTGATTCCACAGTACACAAAAAGGGGGTGTGTGTGTAATAATTTAAAAAAAAGTAATTTAAAAAAGATGACAACCAATTGTATCACTTTGAATGTGTGTTGCTGCTCTCTGCAGTCCTGAAAATAATCTAATTTCTGCATCAGACTCCTGAAAGGACTCTCTAAGAGTCACTCATTCTAAGGTTCTCAGCTTCTCCTCGTCTGCTTTACTCACATTTGCACAGGTTAGGCCTGCCTGAAAGTGTGGCTTCATCAGTCATCACGAAATCATTTTGAACCAGTTCAAAGCCCTGCTTATAACAAAAAGAACAATTCTCCAGGAAGTTCTGGCAGCCGCTCTATGGGGAGTTTTACTGCTCGCACAAAGGCAGCACCACTCTAAGTTTGGATTCACCAGCAGCTCTGAGGCAGAAAGATGAGCATTCTCCTCCTGGGTGATTTGTAGCCTCGGAAAACCCAGTGTGGGGTCTGCTATGAGTTTGAATTGTTCAGGTTTGTTTTGTTAAAACAACTCTCCAGGTGCCACTGCTCAGCACTCAGACATCCAAGTGGGCCTGCAGGGCCAGAGTTTGTGTGCCTCTGTATGTTTCTCTCTCTCTCTCTCTCTCTGTATCTTTCTTTCATGATACTGATGATTTCTTTAAAAAAAAATCTACTGCAGTTTAGCTGTGTAGAATTGTTGCCTTTTAAAAATTATGCTGTAGGTACTGTAGCCAAATCATTAAATTGAAATTGTTCCTTTATCTTCCCTAGGGCTAATGGCTCCTGTGAAAAAGGATCAATTGATATTTTTCCTAAAATGTAGCTTCAGGGTGTAGAGAATGTTATAGGTCATGTTTCAACTTACAGAAAATTTTTATAGTTCAGATATAAATTACATGAACTGTGGATTTGCAATAGAGTTTAAGGTTAAGTAAAGTCCCACCTTCCTTTAGCCTGTGCGTGGTGTTCAGGAGGCCCTGGATGGTTGCGACAGTCAAGCAGAAGCAAGATAAGGGTTGAGTGTGATAACATGCAGCTCAGTCTAATAATATAATTGCAGGCACACTTTGTTTTCTTGTGCTTCACTTTACTGTGCTTTGCAATATTGCTTTTTTTAAAAAAACAAATTGAAGGGTTGTGGCACCCTGTGTTGAAGACATCTCCCAGCACCATTTTTCCAATAGCATGTGCTCACTTCATCCCTCTGTGTCTCATTCTAGTAATTCCCACAATATTTCAAATTTCTTCATGATGTTGCTGCACACGAATAAATGACAGTCTGTTGTAAACATAACGTTCATGTGCACTAGGAAACCCAAAATATGTGTCTGACTCACTTTATTTGGTTTGTTGAAATGGTCTGGAAAGAGGTGTCCAAGTGACACAGAGTGCTGGAAAGATGGACTGTAATTGAAAGAGAGGAAGACATCCTAATGAGTTGGATTGACATGCTGACTTCAACAGTGGGCTCCAGTGTGTCAGACGTTATGAAGATGACACAGGATAGGGCAGGGTTCAGATCAGCTGTTCACAGGTTCTCCATGAGTGGTTTTCAATTCAACAGAACCCAACAACAGCAACAGGGCAAAATGAAAAATGGGAGGCACCTGGTTTGAAAATGGCTAAACATTTTGAAAGAATGACTTTCAACTCATTGCCATGGAATCGGAACTGACTCATAGCTGACCCTCCAAGGGTTTCCTGAAGGCTGTAAATCACAACAGAGGATATCGTCCGTCTTTCTCCCTCATGGCCTTAGTGGATTTGAACCACCAGAGAGGCACCTCTTCTGGGTTAGCTGCACACTTCCTTATGGACTAAGCCATCAGGGCCTCCTGAGAGAGTGACAGGAGATTATTAAACGAAGCAAGGGAAGGGCCCATCTGAGTGGGAACCTTGATCTGGTTGTGTCTGGGATCCGTGCAGGTAATGGTGAAAAGGATTATTACAAATTGGCTGTTTGAAACCACCAAGGAGAAAGATGTGGCGATCTACTTCTGGAAAGTCTTGGAAGCCCGTTGAAGTAGCGCTACTGTCTGCTATCAGGTCGCTAAGAATCAGAATTGCTGTGTGGATTCGTGCTAACTGGCGGCCTCATGTGTGACAGAGCAGAACTGCTCCAGAGGGTTTTCTCCACTGTTGTCTTTATGAGAGTCCCATTCTTCTCAATGTCATTGTTGTTATGTGCTGTCGCGTCGCCTGCGACTCATAGCGACCCTTTGTACAACACTCCTAAACCCTGCTCTATCCTGTGCCAATTTCACTGTCTCTGACACATCTACCCCAATTAACCTATTCATTGAATCGATCCACCTCATAGAGGGTCTTCCTCTCCTGAGCTGCCTCTCCACCTTCCCAAGCATGACGTCCTTCTCCAGGGACTGGTCCCTCCATGCAGCATGTCCAAAGTATGTCAGACGTAGCTTCAGAATCCTTCACTCCAAGGGGCAGTCTGGTTTAACCCTCTGCAGGATAAAACTGTTCATTCTCTTAGCAGTCCATGGTATATTAAATACTCTTCTCTAGCACAACAGCTCAAAGACATCAATTCTCCTTCAATCCTCCCTAGTCATTGTCCAACTCTCTGGCACAAAGCAAATGATTGCAAAAGATCTACACAGTCAAATGCCTTTGCATGGTCAAAAAAGCATAAATGGAAAAATCTTCTGGTATTCTCTACTTTCAGCCAGAATCATCATAACAAATTATGGCTAACATCGAGAAGAATGGAAATCGCAGCACACTTATTTGTGCTCATAAGAAACCTATACCAAGACAAAGAGGCTGATGTGTCAATAGAACAAGTGTTGTATGGTTTTCAATAAAGAAAGCTGTGTACCAGGTTTTCTCTTCTCTCCATACCTGTTCAAGCTGTATGCTGAGCAAATTCTATGAGAAGCCAAACCCTACAAAGAATGAACATCTGGATTGGAGGAAAGCTCATCAACAACCTGAGCTATGCAGATGACACAACCTCCCTTGCTGAAAATGAAGACTTGAAGAGCTTCCTGTAGAAGACCAAAGATTTCAATATTATTTGCATCTCAGTATCAAGAAAGAAAAAATTCTCACCGCTGGTCAGCTAGGCAACATCTGAATAGATAAATATTGAAACTGTCGACAACTTCATCTTACCTGGATTCAAAATCACTACACTTGGTACCAAAAATCAAGACATCAGGCAACAGGCAAGTCTGCAGTCAGGGATCTCGCCAAATTATTGAGGAGCAATGATATCAGTTTGAGGACTAAGGTGTGTCTGATTCAGGCCATGGCCTTTTCAATAACTTACTATGCTTCTAAGAGTTGAATTATGAATATGGATGATAGAAGAATTGATGCCTTTGAGCTGCGTTGTTGGAGAAGAGTACAGAATATCCTATGACTTTCAAAAGAACAAACAGATATGTCTTTGAAAAGGTGCAGCCAATATGCTCCTTGGAGACAAAAGTCATGAAAGTCTTACATACTTGGGGCATATTGCTAGGAGAGGCTGTTCCTTGTAGAGGGACATCGTGCTTGGGTAAGTGGAGGGAAGATGAAAGAGAGGAAGACCCTCAACCAGGTGGACTGACGCAGTGATTGCAGCAATGAACGGGCTGGAGTGTATCAGAGACGATGAGGATGGCACAGGACAGGACAGGTTTCAGATCTGTTCATAGGGTCACCTTGAACTCAACTCGATGTGATCTAATAGCAACCATCTTTATGGAAGCAGTTTGCCAGGACTGCTTTTCTTAGAGCTGCTGGGTAGGTTTGAGCTACTGACCTTAAGATTAGTAACTGAGAACCAACTGTTTGCACCACCTAGCATCAACCACGAGAAACTCAAAGACCACTCACTGCTTTTTCCGCCGGACGGCAGTGTATGCCACACTGGAGACGAACAGAAGCAAGACAATGCCTGTGACGACCCCGAGCCCGATCCCTGTATTGCGGAGAGTGGATGCCCTCTGTGTCTCCTCTCCTATTAGGGGGGAAAAAGTTTTTAATTGCCAGATTATTAAAAGGCTGCCCTGGAGGCTCTCGGGCCCCTGGAAAGTTCTTTGTCCCAGCACCAGTGAATATTAATTATGGGAATGAAATGTACATTTAACCCAAGGAAGAGCTCACTGTAGAGAAATCTTGTAGGGCAAGTCGTTGAAAGCCGATTTACTAAATGACCTATTCACCAAATGACCCATTTGCCTAATGGCCAATTTGCCAAATGACCCATTTGCAGAGAGCCAATTCACTGGCAATCAGTTCGTGGAATGTTCTGCTTCTCAATCACCGGCAGCCAGAAAGCTTATCCCAGGCTCCCTGCGGACGCAGGGCTGGGGGCCAGAGCCAGTACAATGATAGCAAAACTCTGAAACTTCAGTAATTTGGTGAATCAGTCATTCAGTTCATTAATTTTCTGTGAGGGAACCTGCTTCTGGTTAAGTCCCCAAGAAGATTATGGGCCACGGCTTATTCACTGCTGTCAAGCTGAACCCCCAACTCATGTAGGCCCCGTGCTCGATGGGAACCACCTGTTCTGATCTAGAAAGTCTCTATCAACTGCTACCTAGATCTCTATTGCTGAGCCTTTCATCCTAGTCTTTCTTAGCCTAGCTGCTCTGCTTAAGTTTATTTAGCAACAGAGCACTAGGCAAGCCTCCACTTACAGACAGGGGGTAACTGTGCTTAATATGCGCCAACTTGGAATCGAACCTTGGTCTCCCACATGGAAGGCGAGAACTCTACTGCTGAGCCACCCCTGCCCTTTGGCAGAGGCTTAGAAGAAGGGAATGGGCTCAGGAAACTGTCTTTCTGCTGCTCGTGGAGTGCCTTTAAGCATGACCTTGATCATTGTGCAGTATTTTATTTATTGTTTCTCCTGGAGAGGAAAAGATGGCTTGTGTTTTGAAGAGAGATATATAGAGATAAAATATAACCCAAACCCACTGCTGTTGATTCCAAGTTGTAGTTTCAGTATCGGATAAAGCAGAGCTTTCCCGTAGGGTTTCTGAGGCAGTGAATCTTTAGAGAAGTCGATTGTCCCCTCTTTCTTATGTGGAGCTGGTGGTGAGTTTGAACCACTGACTGTTGGGTTGGCATCCCAGTGCTAAAGCCTGTGCCAACAGGGATCCTTGGATAGCTTGTTGACTCTAGTTCATGGGGATCGTTTTATGTACAAGAGAACAAACCTTGTCCAGACCCGCATCCACCCTTGTGATCAGAGCATGTTTGAAGCCATTGTCGCGGCTCTTGTGATGATCCGTCACATTGAGGCTCTCCCTCACACTCGCTGGTCCCGCTGCCTCAGCAAATATGATGTCCTCCTCCAGAGACCTAGCCCACCTGATGTGTCCAAAGCAAGCAGATCGCAAAATGTTCTGTTGTAATCGGTGGGATTTTCATTGGCTAGTTTTCAGCATTGATTAGGTGGCCAAGCCTTTCTTCCTGTTGTTATTGTTACATGCCGTCAAGTCACTTGCAACTCATAGCGACCCTATGTACAAGAGCCCTAACCCCTGCTGTATCCTGTGCCAACCTCACTGTCTTTGGCACACCTACTCCCATTACCCCAATCACTGAATCGATCCATCTCATTGAGGGTCTTCCTCTCCTGCGCTGTCCCTCCATTCTCCCAAGCATGATGTCCCTCTCCAAGGACTGGTCCTGCCTTGCAGCATGTCCAAAGTATGTCAGACGAAGCTTCAGAATCCTTGACTCCAAGGAGCATTCTGGCTTCACCTTCTCCAGGACGAACCTGTTTGTTCTCCTAGCAGTCCATGGTATATTCAACACTCTCCTCCAGCACCACAGCTCAAAGGCATCAATTCTCTTTCTATCATCTCTAGTCACTTCCAGCTCTCCGGCACATAGAGTGTGTGTTAATCTAGAACCTCTACTGTAACATGTCTCTTCTGAGCAATCCTGGTGGTATTTGAAGTACTGGTCGTATTACAGCATCCCAGTTAAGATGCAAGCCACCATATGCAACAAACTGATAAACTACCTACTAAGGAAGACTGCCACTGAATTCCTAGAGAGTGCCAGACTTTCCTTCCTAGTCTGTCTTATTCTAGAACCTCTGTTGAAGCCTATCCACCATAGGCAGGCAGCCTGGCTGGTATTTGGTATACTTGTGGTCTAACTTTTCACCATCACAGTAAAATTCAACCAACCACCTACAGTATACTGACAATCAACTACAGAAGGTTGACACTGAACTCCTGGAGATAAACTGGGTTCTCAGGAACTTGTCTAGATTTAGGATTTGGGCATCTGAAGAATTAGCAGAGTCACTGACAGGTCCCACTTCTTTTTCAGTAACCAGTGGAATCAACTGCCTGTGGCCTCTGAGCAGGTTTTTGCCAGGAATCAGGAAGCACAGAGATGCCAATATCAGACTGATTTTCTGTAATTGGAGGGAATAAGAAAGTCCAAAGAATTGATGCCTTTGATCAAGAATATTGAATATTTGTAGACTGCCAGTTGTTGTTTATTGTTGTGTGTCATCAAGTCACAACCGACCCATAGCTGACCCACCAGCAGGCTTTCAGAGGCAGTAATAGCATGGAAAGAGATTGCCCCTCCTTCTCCGGTAGTGCAGATATTGGATTTGAACCAGGTGCCTTTGGGATTGTAGCGCAGCTTCTTACAAGTAGGCCACCAGAGAATTGCCAATAGACAAATCTTTTTTGGAAGAAGTGCAGCCAGAATGCTCCTTTAAAATGAGGGTGGTGAGGCTGTCTTCTATGCTTCAGACATCTCAGAAGGGATTGGCTTCTGGAGACATCTTGCTTGATAACGAAGAAGGTCATTGGAATAGAGGAAGACCCTCCTTGAACTGGACTGACACCGCGTCTGCAACGCTGAGCTCAAAGATAGCAATGAATATTGAAGGTGCAGGGCCAAGCAGTTGCTTTCTGTTGTGCGTGGGACCACTATCAGCCCGATGTGAGTTGAGGGCACCTAACAACAATAGAAGGGACATGTTGGGGGCAGACTCCATTCCAGATTTCCTGAGGATAAAAAAAAGATTAGTTCCCAGCCCTCCCGATGCAGCCCTTCCTTTTGCCCAAAGTTGCCATGTGAAGTATCACCAGCTTGTGCACAAATCCCCTCTCAAGCTCACTCTGTGTTCAGAGCCTTTGTTTTCTTGCTCTGTGGGCCCCTAAGCGGCTGGAACACAGCATTGTTCGGCCTGGATTTGAAAACCCCCTCTGGAGATGGCTTTTTTTTTTGAGTCTTTTCTATCTCAGGCAAAGAATGGCCCCGAGCTGACAATTTTCTGACGGTTGCTTTTTGTGCCTCACCTGACTGCAGGTCACGAGGGTCCAGGAGCATGTCCTGGGTGACCGCCAGAGAGCCGTTGTGAGGTTCGGGGGCCACTCCCAGGAGCTTGCACATCAGGGGGTAGATGTGGATGCTGTCAAAAGGCTCTGCCAGGTGATTCTTCTTGAAGTCAGGCCCAAAGGCTCTGAAGATGGTCTTCATGTCCATGAGGGCATTGTCGAAGCCGTGATCTCCTTTGTTGAAATAGATTATAAGTTGCTGGGAAAAGAATACAGGGGAAGAAAGAAGCCATTTAAGACACCAGTTCCCTAAAGAAAACAGCCTCTTCGTTAATGTCATGCTGTTGGAGCCATCAGCTTCTTGAAAACGTAAATGGAAGGGACACTGTCCTTCGCAGTGGCAGAAAGATGAAGGAATTAAAGAGTTTTAAGAGAGCGAATAAAGGAAGCTTACCATCAGAAATAGCAAGAAAATGTTCCTCCTGCTGAAAAGAAGCTAAAATGTATGGTGCTTCCAACATCCCAAGTAAAGTGCATGAAATGTTGTGTGGCTCAAGGAAGGTCGTCAGTTTGAATCAGTCCAGCAGCTGCTCTTCAGCAAACTGTTGAGTCATTTTTTTTTCTCCTCTTAAGATTCCTGGTGGCATGGTGTATAGTGTGCGGTTCTTCTAACTGGAAGGTTGATAGTTCGAAGCTACCAGCTGCTTTAAGGGATGAAAGATGTTCAATCTCCTCTCTCAGAGAGTCACAACCTCAGAGAAGGTCTCTGTAAGTTCGACTAGACCCAATGCCACTGGCTTTACTAAGGGGCAAGAAAGGAGCCCTGGAAACACAGCGGTTAAACACTTAACCTCTAACCAAAAGATTGGCGATTCAAACCCGCAAGCAGCTCCTCAGGGGGATGATGTGGCCGCCTGCTTCCTTGAAGATGGCAGCTTTGGAAACATTATAAAGCTGTCCAGCTCTGTCCTACAGAAAAGCTAGGAGTCAGAATTGAGTGCTCAGCAGTGGGTTTCTGGGTATGCACCAGGAATTTTTCTGGATGCTTTAGAAATGGGCATTAACTCCTCTGATCCTCACCACAGGCCTTTGAAGGTGCTGTTGTCATTATTCCCATTTCACGAATGAGGAAAAGTGAGGCACAGAGCTGAAAGTGTATACCCCGAGACATCCAGTGGAGTGATGGAACAAGTATGAGAATCTAGGCAGTCTTATTCCAAAGCCAAGTATGTTTCTCTTGGCACAGAAATGTCTATATCTGTGTCTCTATCTGTGCTTATAGCTGTATCTCTGTATATATGAATATCTATGTCTCTACCTTTGACTGTGTTTATATCTCTGTGTCTGTGTCTGTATCTATGCTATGTTTATATCTGTGTCTATGTCTACATCTATATCTGTATTTGTGCTATGTCTATATACGTGCCTATATCTATAGCTGTATCTATGCTGTGTCTATATCTATATATGTATCTACGTCTGTGTCTATATCTGTGACTGTGTCTGTATCTGTCTCTCTGTCTGTATATCCATGTTGTTGTTAACTTCCATTGAGCCAATTCTGTGACTATATTAAAAAAATCATTGTACACTTTGAGTGGGTAACTTGTGTGGCCCATTAATTATATTTCAGTAGCTCTAGTGGCCTAGTGGCAAAAAGCTGCACTGCAATCCTGAAGGCATGTGGTTCATATCCCACCAGCTGCTTTGTGGGAGAAAGATGGGCAGTCTCCTCCCATGCAATTAACTGCCTCTGAAAACCCACTGGAGGGTCAGCTATGGGTCAGTTTCTACTCTGTGGTACACAACAACAATAACAAAAGCTATGATTAGAAATACACTGCAGATGCTGTCGAGCTGGCCCTGCCTAATGGCGACATCCCTGGCATAATGGAATGAAATGCTACCTGGTCCTGCACTGTCCCCGAGACTGAGTGTGGATCAGACTATTGTGATCTGTGAGATTTTCACTGGCTGATTTCTGAAAGCAGATCACCAGGCCTTCCTTTCTGCCCTTGTCTGCAGGCACTGCTGAAACCTGTCCACCATGGGCGAGTCTTCTGGCATTTGAACTACTGCTGGCATAACTTTGAGCATCACAGCAGCATGCAAGCCACCACGTGACACACTGACGGGTGAGTGATGATGAAGGCAGGGAGGCAGATGTGAGTCTGAGATGTGTATTCAAGGAGAGACCTAAATGACTTTCTGTCTCATGGTCACTTAACCAGGAGGTCAAAGTGACCACGACATCCTATTCCCTCAAACCATTCTGCTGGTCATGCTGAGAATACCCTTGTCCCTTCAACCTCCTCAGGTCTTTGCATTGTCAATACCACTTTTCACCTGTTCAGTTCCAAGCACGAGCCAGGTTTACAAACAGGCCAAATGAATGAGGATGGGATAACTGCTTCATGAAGCCTTTGTTTTAAGCATGTGGTTTCAATTTCTTGGACCACTTGAATGATTGAAAATGACCTTAGTACTGTTGTAAAATGGGACTGACATCGGGGTTGGAGGGAGACTAAAAAAGATGGGATAAATTATGCATACTGCATTGAAACACATGAGAGAGAGAACTATTTAAAAAGGGATACATAATTAGGTATTATTGTCATGACAGGAGTCCAGAACGAAGGCTGCATAGTGGAGTGGACTTGGGGGGGAGGGATTGTAAAACAATGAAAGAATTTTTCTTTTACTTTTCAAAGAGAAGAACGAACTGGGGAGGAGGGGTGGGCAGGGAGAAAAGTGCAACAGTGAATGACTGGAAATCCAAAAATCTCTGTAAATTTTCCTTAAAATTACTACTACTAATAAAAAATTTTTAAAAATGACCTTAGATGATAAATTGTGTTTTGCTGTGAATATTTTTCACCAACAGGATCTAACAATCCCATCGTTTTCTCCTTCCTGTGAGGCTTAGGAGTGGTAACAAGCCAAAAGTTGTAAACATAATGACACTATCTGGATCCAGTCCACAGCCCGAGGCAGGGATTCTTCAAGCTGCTCCCAGGACAGCCTTCATAACAGGGTGGTTATAGCATCACCCAGACTTGGATTCTGTCACGAATTACTGGGTGGTGGTTAACCCAAACCAGACCGCCTCATTTAAGCCTCATAACAGGCATTGATGTTAGAATTTTCTGATGTGAGGGAGCCTATTTATTCACTTATAGTAACAGCTCTAACCCATCCCACAGCCACTAAGTTGGTTCTGACTCCGAGCAATCCTATGGTACGGAGTACAGTGCTCCATGGTGTTTCCAGTGCCATCAATCTTTATGGAAGTGGACTTCATCATGCTCCAGCAAAGTGGCTGGTGGGTTTGAACCACCAACCTTTTGGTCAAGCATCTCACATATTGGGGTCACATTTTGCTAATCTTATAGTATTTCAAACTTTTTGTATGATGCTTCCACATGCTTAATAGAATACAGTACCAGGTCAGCATTACTTTTATAAGTACTTTTTTTTTAAAATAAGCAAGTATGTCAGAGATGATGAGGATGGCACAGGATGGGACAGGGTCCAGATCTCTTGCTCATAGGATGACTATGGTTGTACTTGGCTCGATCACCCCTCAAACAATAATATACCCTCTTTACTGGCTGTCTCCCGAATTCAAGGTGACTTTTCTCACTTTAGCATCAACTTACCGCGTTAATATTGTAACCAGAGTCGGCGTACATCAGGATGGGCAGCACCCGTTCATGTTTGGCATAATGAAAGTGTTCTGGAAAGTCCTCCTTCTTGTAGACCTTGAGGTGGGGATGCGCGTCCTTCAGTGCCTGGTAAAGGGCCTCCTCTTGCCCTGGTTTGGGGAGGAGCATCCCAAAGCCACCATAGTCCACAATATGAAACTTGACCAAGTCGTTGAAACTGATGTAGTTCCTCAAGAGGATCTCGGTGACGTCAGGCTTCTTCTTTACCGTGGTCATGCCGTGGTCCGACGTGATGATGACATTGAGGTGCTCGGTCAAACCGTGCCTCTCGATGGCCTCCACTAGGTACCCGAGGGTTCTGTCAATCTGCTGAATCATCACCCTCCTGTCCTGTGTCTCCGGCCCCACCCGATGCCCCACATTGTCTGGCTCTCCATAGTAGAGGGTCACAAAGTCAAAGTCCTCCTTGGTGAACCAGTTCATGACGATGTCGATGTTCTCCCTCCACTCCGTCTCGTTGCTGTCAGGGTGGGTGTACGATTCCACGAGGGATCTCTGGACTGCTTCGCCCTGGTACTTGGCCCCTCCTCCGGGGTAATGGAATGACGCCGTTTTTCTCCCCTGCCAAGGGAAGCAGAAAAGGTTATCACAGCCATTTCCCATGTCATTGTCAGAATGGGGAAACATCTCCATCCCATCTCAGAGGAACAGCAAACACACACACACACACACACACACACACACAGAGAGAGAGAGAGAGACAGAGACAAAGGTTTGTGTTTCAGAAAGCTGGCTTTGACTCTCAGCTTCACCAGGATCTCATCAGAACGAAAACTCCACTAATTGTCAGACATTTCATTATTTTCTGTGTTACTCAGAACAGTCCACATCTGACCGATTGTCATATTGTGATGGCTTGTGTGTTGTTCTGAGGATGGAAGCGATGCCACCAGTGTTTCAAGCAACAGAAGGGTCACCCATGGTGGACAGTTTTCAGCGGAGTTTCCAGATTAAGAAAGAATTGTGTGTTTGGGAAAACAGATGGCTGGAGGAGAGGAAGACCCTTGCTGAGGTCGATTGGCACAGTGAGTGCACCAACGGGCTGTAGCACAGACGGTGAGGATGGCATAGGAGGGGCAAAGTCACCTTCTTTTTCCCATAGAGTCATGGTCAGTTGGAGTTGACTTGATGTTAGGATTGGAACCAAGAAGATAAGAGGCAGATGTTTATGCTTGGGAAACTGAGCCATCAGAACCAAGAAGCCACTATTGAAATGCATATAATTAGTGATGTCAGAAGCAAGGGACACTTTGGGCGCAAGAATGACATCATAGAACAGGGACCAGAATGAGAACCACCCACTAAACTTTGGCCCAGACACCAGCCCCGAGGCCCACCTGGAGAAGAAGCCCATACATGGAGCCTCACATCACCTGCATACTGCTTCCTCTCCATAGTTCCTTTCAAGGATTGTGGTCCGTCCCTTTGGGGATGTAACTTTCTAATAAATCTGTCTTAACTTTTTTACCTTCCCCTCTGCCTTCTTGTCTTTTTTCTTTTTGTCCTGTGCTCTAAGAAAAAGCTTCAGCCTACACTTCAATGCTCCAGACACTAAAGTCTGCTCTCCCAAGAAACCCTAAGATTGCTGTCCACTGGGCCACCTTGGTACCCAAGCACCATCCCCTCCTCCAGTCTCTTCCGTCCGGCACAGTTCTTTTGCCTGTGTGAAAAGGGCACTGGACACACAGTAACATTGGTGGTACCTATGATAGGAAGAAATAACTGGTGATCTTCTTAAAATAAGCCAGTGCAGACTCCAGGAATCTTAACAGAACATTGTCTAGTACAGTGCTGAGACATGAGCCACCACACCACAGGCAACAGTGGACTCAGCTGTACCAGCCATCATGAAGATGCAATGGGGCCAGGCTGTGCTGCCTTCTGTTACGGAGCAACACAGAGCCAGTTGCCGTGAGTTAAAGCTGACTTGATAGCAGCTAATGACAACAGACCTGCATTCCTGATTGCGCTGTGGCACTCCAGCGGCTGTTATGCTGTGGCTGGTTCTGCACACAGCAGAGCATCTACCAGTGCAGCCATTCCCCCTGTATACAGTGCGGTAACGTCCATTACCTTCTGTGAGCGGGGCAACCATTCTCAGCCTCTTCATAATTTAACTTACAATAAGCATGTCCTCACTGCACCCTAAGCTTTCTGTCTGATGTTACTCATTGCAGTTCTCAGTCCAGCCAAGAATGCCCCAAGCACAATGCTAAGGCAGCCATTTTTTAAAAAATTTTTTACTATTTTTGTGTGTGTATATAATCAAATTAGATCTGACTGTTACAGGAGATTGTCTCTCCTCCAGCAGAGCATCTGGTGGATACGAACCGCTCACCTGTGGGAATGCAGTGCAGATTCTTGCTGCTAACCCACCAGAGCTCATCAAAGGCAGCCATTTTTAACCAGTTAAGCAAGGAGCTATTGTTGGGCTTAAAGAAGAGCTCAGGGGATGTTTTCAGTTTAAGGTTTCAAAGTTTCAAGATCGACTGTTGATGCATTTTCATTTCAGCAATGACAGTGCAGAAGCAGGAGCAGTGTCTCGGAGCGTCAGAGTGCAGGGGAAATGGGGCTTTCTAAGTTGGTGGTGATGTGAGAGTTCTTTCATCATGTAGCACCTCAGTTTTTTCCTACCTGTAAAACCTCAAAAAGCGGACCTCAGACGGGTCTGGCAGAGAGCGGGCCACTGGAGGCTGAAGGCATGATGAATGAATTGCATGAGTCCCATCTCCTTTTGTGGGCGAAAAATTCATCTCGCTCTCACTTCTGATTAACTCGTGGAACACATTACAGACTTGCCTTTATCTTTGAGGCCCAGCATCTTATTTGTAGCCTCTACAGGTAGCACATTTTCCTTCCTGATAATGGAGTTTCCATGGTTGCTTTAACTCGAAAATTCTCTAATATTTGTTTATTGCCTCCCTGATTGGCATTAAACATAATTCGCAATTTCTCAGCCATGGCACTTTGCTTAACTTATATGTAAATTGACTTTGCCCTGAAGTATGGAATGGATTAGAAGGATGAAGCCACGAACGTTTTGCAGAACATGGTCTGATTGGCTATTTTATTATCTAGAATAAGCTGACACCAGTGTTACAAGGGACTCAGGCTTCCGTGAATATTCATTTGTGCCCCTGATGTTTGCACATTCCATGTCAGATGCTCTCACAAACTGAAATTATTCTTTTTCTTTTTAATAACTATGTTCTGAACATGCAACCTCCTTTAACGCTGTCCCAAGCTGGAGTCTTAGGAAATTTTGCCTTTTCTCACTTGGTCCCATAGGAATTTTAGGAGCAACATAGCTCTGTGAAGTGAGCTGCAGATAAGAACATATGTGTATATGTGTACACACACACACACACACACACACACTCTCATACCCACTTAACTCTGTTTATTTGGGACCCAGGATAATCAAAAGTGCTATTTTCAACAAATACTTCTGAGACATAATCTGAGCACTTAATTGGATGCAAAAGAGGGGGGTATTTACAGTTTTACCCTTTAATTAGCATAATCAGTGTTTTCAGCCGCAACAGCAATTGGAAAATCACTGCTTTATTAGGTTCATTATTCTCCCTTAGTGTAGTCTTGCATTGCTGTAGCCATTACTCTCAAGTTGCTTCCTTACAACAAGGCTTCAGACTTCTTTACAGGCAAATCCTGACCTTTGGGTTTTGCACAGAGTCCATTCCACTCTCTTAGGTTTTTTGGTTGTTGGTTTTTTTGGGAGCTAGGGTGGGGGTGTTTTTATTTTTAATTTGTAGTCCAGGTGAAAGACCAGTTAGTACACATTTTGTTTTGTGATATTGGTTTCAAACCCCTCAGTGTCACAGCACGCTTCCTGCTTCTTCCCTGGGCTTTTAATTCCAGGTCCTTCTCTCGTGTCCCTGCTGAGTGTTTTGGGGCAGATGCTGCCTTTTGTTCTATATGCTTCAATAGTTCTGAGGAGCTCATTTCTCCTTATTGTTCACTATATTAGCCAGAATGTGTTTTTCCACCCAGTTCTTGAGAACCAAGAATCAGAGGGCAATCCCTCTGGGTTTAACCACAGGACAAAATCCCATTGGGTTTACCTTGACAGAGTTCACGTTGTGAAGCTCAACCATTTTTAGGGAGGGCCATGGAGAAGCCCTTCATGGTTCTATTTTGCTGGCGAACACTTGGGATTTAGGGTATAAGTTTATGAACTATAAATTACTCGGTCTATGAATGACTGAGTGAAAACAGATGGACTCTTAGTATTTGAAATGCAGAAGCCACATTTGGTTTCAACTCTGTATGTCTGTGCTCCAGAGGAGCCACTGAAGTGGAGGCAGCTAAGATTCTGTGCTTCAGCAGAGAATAATAATAGACTCAGCTTGTTATTCTCAGAGCCTTTGTGATGCAAAAGAACCCACCCAAATCCACTGCCATCAAGCCCTTTTGGATGGTAAGGGCAGAGCAGAACTGCACCACAGGGCTTCCAAGGATGTAATCTTCACGAAGCAGACAGCTTTCTCTCCAGAATGTCTGGCCAGTTCAAACCGTTAATCTTTTGGTTAGCATGTGAGTGTGTAACCCCTGCACCTCCAGCGTTCCTTGGATGCATGATAAAAAGATGCTATGCTGGTCCCATATAGGGGGAGCACCGTCTTACTGTTAAGGCCCTGGAGTCTCTACAAGCAGTTAGTTAGCCTTGGACTCTCCAGGCGGTACAAGCAATTCATGTATGTGCTCAGCTGCTAACCGAAATGCTGGCAGTTCAAGAGCACTCAGCAGTGCCTCAAAACAAAGATCTGGTGATCTCCTAAAAAAAATGTGTGTCCTGCACTGAAACAGATGAGGGAGAGAACAATTTAAAAGCGATGTATGATAGGGTATTATGGTTATCACAAGAGTCCACAATTAAATGGAATGTACTTGGGGCGGTGGGAGGGGTGCAGGGGTGTGTGTGTGTATGTGTGTGTGTGTGTGTGTGGTGTGGCTGGCCGGGGAGAGAAGTGCAACAATGAATGAATGGAAATCCCAAATCTCTGTTAATGTTCATTAAAATTATGAAAAAAATTATTAAAATTTTAAAAAATTAAAAAAAAAAACATAGCCGTTCATAACCACATGGAGCACAGTTCTCCTCCTGCCCATCGGGTGACACGGGTTGAATCAACTCATCTCCAGGGCGGGCTGGCATAGCTGGCGCCATCTTGCTCATAACTCTCCTACCTAAGGAAGTGGTTTTCTAGGAGACCTCGCTTGCTTGAAGAACCATCCTCCACCTTCCCCGTCTCTCTCCACATCCCGTCCTAGCCATACACAGTCCTCTTACAGACTCTTGTAAGCTCTGAAGATCTTACTCCATACCCTTTCATTCTTTCATTCTCTGTCCAGTGTGGCAGATTGCTAGCCAAAACACTAGCCGTTCGATTCTACCCACAGCTCCACGGGAGTTTTATATTCCTATAAAGATTTGTTGTTGTTGATTGCCTTTGAGTCGAGCACGACTCAGCAACCCTATGAACAAAAGGCCTGAGGCCTCTCTACAACTATCGACATTTATCAAAGTTCATAGAGTTTCCGGAGGCAAGTTGTTTAAGAAGTGGATTTACAGCCTTCGAATCATGTTAGAAGGTCTCTAAGAATCAGAGCCAACTCAAGGACAGTAGGTACAGCATTTCTGCAAACTCTCAAACTCATTTCCATCAAGTCAGAGCAGCACTACACAAAACTGACCCTCCAGCGGGCTTTTCAAAGGCTGTAAATTGCAGGAGAAGAGAGATCCCATCTTTCTCCCACACAACACTTCCCCAGAGACCGAAAACAAGCTCTTAGTTGTTTATGGGTTTTTCCTGGTTCTCTGAGCCTTGGCTGCCTGCATTCCTCTGAGAAGCAGGACTTCAGAACTGGGTGAAATAGCTCAGTCGTTGCCACAGGGTTCATGCACGATTATGAAAAAAGACCAGACTTACTGGTCAGATGGAAACTGGTGAAATGCTTGAGATGGTGGCCCTTAGCCTTCAAGCTTCGAACTGGACCTACTCCTGGATATCACTTTCCTCCAAATTGTAGGCCTAGAAAAATGACTCAAAACACCTGAGAGGAACATACAGATCTGTCAACTGTGGAAGACCAGAAGGACAGCTTTGGCCTAAAAACAAAGGGTCAGAAGCAGAGAGAGCATGGAAACAGGAGGCCCAGAAAGGAAGTGGGAAGAGTTTATGCTGAAGCAACTGCAACCCATGTCCCAAAACAAAATGCATATAAATTGTTGCCTGGAAAACGAATTTGCTCTGCAAATTTCCACCTAAACCACAATTTGTTGTTGTGTACACAGAGTTGGAACCGACCCATAGCTGACCCTCCAGCAGATTTTCAGAGGCAGCTAATCACATGAGAGGAGATTGCCCATCCTCCTGCTGAGCAGCTGGTAGCCTCGAACCCTGTGCCTTTCGGCCTGCAGCACAGCTTCACAATTGGGGGAGGGGGGAAATTATCACATCACATATAAAATCTGAGCATTCTTCTTCTTCCTCATGTGTGATACCTTGCACATGTGAAGTCTTGCCAGGGTGTGGACACAGAGGTGGCCAGGCCCCTTCTTTATAGCATTGCCCATTGTCATGTGTCCTGATGGGTTCCAGCAGCAGTGGTGTCACTGAAGGAAAAAGGTTTTGCACCCTTAAAGATGACTTTCCTGATGCCCACAAACTTGATCTGGCAGAGACCTGCAACACGGTGAATTTTCCCAGATGATGGAGTTGAGACCTACAGCCTCGCCTGCCTATGCAGACCAGCTCCTGAGAGCCAGTGGGAGCCAGCTGGTGCTTTGCTCATGGGGTGCTGACCTGAGCCCACAGATTTGCCTTAATTACTGGTCTGGTAGCCCCTGGGGACTGGCCTCTGGCCCTGCTCAATGGCTGCCGATGGCGTTCACCTCCCAAGTGAGTCACTTCTCCACCCCCCGACCCTCACATCTGCACCTCTTCCTGAATACCCAGCTATCAATTCAGCGGAGAGGACAAACATTGTGTTTATGAGTTGAGCAGAGGGAAATAAAGTCCTGCAAACGAGTGATGATGAGTTGAGAGCCATGAGAAAGGAAAGCGACAGGGAAGGACACTTCACCCAGGAAGCCTCCTGCCTGTAAACAAAGAGCATCACCTGAGACCGTGAAACCATGAGATAGTGGATTAGGGAGGACCATGTCGGACGGTGTAGAGAGTCAGTGAAAAAGAGGTAGGCCCTCAGTCTTCCGCATGGACAGAGTGCCTGCACCGGTGGGCTCACGCGTAGCAACAGTTGTGAGGCTGATGCAGGACTGGGGAGTGTTTTGTTCTCACTTGATGGCACCTAACAATGGAGACTGGTGGTGATGTAGAGGTCAAGCACTCAGATGCAACCAGAAAAGCAGGAGGTTTGGACCTACCAGCCACTGCCTGGGAGAAAGCCATGACATCTACTTCAGTAACGATGTACAGCCTCAGAAATCCTATCGAGCAGTGCTGTTGGCTCTGTCCTGTAGGGATTCCATGAGTTGAACTTGTCTGATGGCAATGACTTTTGTTTGGTTGTATTGTTTGGTGGGATTGGTATTCGACATTGAAGGAGCACTAGTGGCCCATCCATTGAGTGCTTAACTGATAACTAAAACGTTGGCAGTTCAACTGAATACTTAACCATTATTCCACTCCTTCTATGAACTGTGATAATGTTCATGTTTATAGATGGAAAAAGCCAGGCACAGAGAGTGAGACTCTGCCCAGGTCACACCTGGGGAAAGAAGGACCTGGTGGGGCCTGTGTTGGGAGTGGGGTCTGACAGCCTCACTCATTCTGAATCGTTACAGCCCACAGCTTTATGGTCTGCTACTTGTAATATTTGCTGGGAGGGCAGGCATGGTGGGTGAGGGATCAAGGACATGTTTGAGCAAATGTGTTTTCTTGGCTGGTGTCTTAAGGCAGAAGCACAAAGTCATTTCTCCAAATGATGGCTTTGGAAGCTCACTGAGAACATTCAAGGCTGGTGCCGGGTTTTGGGCTGGGAGTGAGCTCTTGGCTGGGGATTCAGCATAGCTGTGACTTCAGCCTTTGCCCAGCAATAATGAATGGCTGCAGGAACCCTCTCAGGCTAAGGTTCTTTTAAAATAATAGTTTGCTGTGTTTGTCGAAAGTTTGTGTTCCGAGTTTTACATTTCCTCCCCTTTGCATCTGAGACCAACTCATGTGGTCATTGGTCAGAACAGCTGGATAGCTGGACACCATCTAAATCTTCTGGTCTCAGGGTATATGAAGTCTTGGCCCATATAGGCGATCAACCTTGTAGACTTGCTTCTTCTTTAAGATTTTGGTTACTTTCTTATTGTTTGCTTCTGGCAAGTAGAGACCAACGGTTGTATCTTAGATGGCGCCATGAAAGCATTTAAGACTCTCGACACTACTTGTTTGACTAGCATTTTGTGGAGCATGGATGTTGTAAACTCTGTCACACAAGGTGACTGAGTTATCCCAGGTGTCAAACTAATGTTCTTCCTCCTCCCTTCCCGGGTCACTCAAGCTAATGATCTTTTCTTAGCTTTCCGTGGACTAAAAGGGAGGTGGCCAACTGTATCCATTCCTACGGGCGTCTATGCTTTTAAATAGGAAGCAAGAGTATAGAAAATACATATGAAAAACCCACTGTGTGCCCGATTCTGTGGCAAGCCCTGCAGGTACAGCTCTGATGAAGCCAGTCTCCACCCTCACAGAGCTCCATCTATCCATCCCAACAGCTAACAGTTATGGCTTTATTCCATGCCAATTGCTTTTAGTGCACACTCATTTTTAATCCTCAGTCAATGGAACACGTAACCACTAGTTTATTTCATGTTTAGAGAAATGGAAACACTAAGTAACTTCAGTATTGATTACATCTCAAGATGAAGATTTTTTTTTAAAAAAAAATCTTCACCTCTGGACCAATAATCGACATCATAAGAGATGGGTAACATATTAAAATTTTCAAGGACTTACTTTTGCTTGGACCCACAGCCCATACTGGAAGCAGCAATTAAAAAAAATCAAATAACCTATTGCACTGAGCAAATCTAACGTGTTAGAAAGCAGAGATGTCACTTTGAAGGCTAAGATATACCTGGCCCAAGTCATGATATTCTCAGTTGCCTCTGATGCCTGTCAAAGTGAATAAAGAAGACTGACAGAGACTTGATGTCTCTGAATTATAGTGCTGGTAAAGAATATTGAATAGACTATGGCCTACCAAAGGACTGAATGCATCTGTGTTGGATGAAGTACAGCTCATGAAAAGAGAGGTGGCCACACGTAACTTCACATACGTTGGATATGTTATCAGGACAGGTCAGTCACTGGCGAAAGATGCCATCATTGGTAAAGGAGTGAGTTGGTGGGGCAAAGAGATCATCGACAAGATGGGCTGACTTTGACTTAGGTGCTGCAGTAGTGGGTTCAAACATAAGAAATATTGCAAGGCTATCACTCCAGGTCTCTTTTTGTTTCCTGTAGAAATGTTTTGTAATTTTTTGCCACTGTTGTAAAGCAGGACTGACATCGGGGTTGGGGGAAACTAAGAAAAGAGGGGATAAATAATGTATACTGCGTTGAAACAGAAGAGGGAGAGAACTGTTTGAAAGGAATATGTGATTAGGTATTGTTTTCATTGCAAGAGTCCAGAATGAGAGCTGCATGTTGGAGTAGACTAGAGTCTGGGGGTTGTATAATAATGAATTTTAAAAATTTATTTATTTATTTACTTTTCAAAGGGAAAAATCAACTGGGAGTGGGGAGGGATAGGCAGGGAAGAAAATGTGCAATAATGAATGAATGGAAATTTGGAAATTAAAAAAAAAATCACCGTTAAAAAAAAAAAAAAGAAAGTACTATGACATGGGTCAGGTATACCTTGGTTCTGAAAGTGACACCTTTACACCTTTGCTTTTTTTAACATTTTAAAGAAATCTTTTTCATTTATTTTAACAGAAAAAAAATAAAGAGAGAGAAATATTGTAAGGCTGTCATGCGAGGGAGCAGTGTTTTGTTCTGTTACACACATAAAGTGGCCGTAAATTTGAAGCTGACTTGGGGCATCTAGCAAACAAAATGAGTAACCTGCCCAAGGCTGCAGTGTCTTCTAACCCTGATCCCCTTGCCTAGGGCTGAGAGGTGACACTCAGGACGTGTCAGCTGGGGGGTCTGACAGTACCTGCCTCTGGGCTGTGATCCAGAGGGGAAGCACACCATTGTCCCACCACTCTGTCTTGTTCTGGGTGGTCTTGAAGGAGTATTTCCACTGTGTCTCCGTGTTAAACATCATGTTGTGGATGACTCCATGGTCTTCAATCCAGCGACCTTAGGGGTGAAAGAGAGAAGATACTGGTATGTTCCATGGAGGAATAATTCCAGGTTTCTGTGTATATCGTGGGCAGAGGTTATGTGATATCCAAGAGCCCAGTGTCTTCTCATTGCACATGAGCCTGGAAAGGCTGGAAGATGAAGATGTTCAGTTGTAAACCATTTTCAGGATGTCTACCACTGCCACCACTTTGTGTTGTAAATGAGAGAGATTTACTGTGTGTTCTGCTGTCAACAATAAAATGAATTCTAAAAGACCACAGGATCCTTCTGGAGGCTTGATAAACCAAGGGGTCTTGAGTGCCTGGAGATGGGGGCAGAGGACCTAGAGGAAATGTAAGATGTCACAGAGAAGCATCTGAACCCTGCACCACAAGGATGCTCCCTTTCAGCCCTGGGACTCAGTGTTCAATGATGGCATTATTAAATAGATTAGCTGTGGAACCAAAGGAGCTCCAGTGGCCTTGTGGACTGGAGTTTTGTGCAGGATTGAGGGGCGGGGCTTCATGTTAGACCAGATCCAGGCTCAGTTTGGAAATATGGGCAAAGCAGGGCAGGAGGGGAAGAGCTAAGAAAGGAGCAGGAATTACTTAAAGTGCCCAAGAACAAGTCAGAATCTTGAGGGCATTTAGCATCCTTAGCCTTTCTGTTCCCCTCCAGATGCTCTTGAACTGAAGCAGCTTTCTTAATGAAATGGTGGAGATCCTTGGGAACATCCAGAGCACGTCCTGTGGACTTAAGGATTCTCAAGGTTATACTGCCTGTCACAAAGCACACTTGTGCAATGCCACGAGCCTCTCTGAGTCTGTGAAGGAGGAGTCAGGCCCTTCTGGCCAGGTTGAAGATCTGCCCCTTTACATTGTTAGAGGTCAAGTTCAACCAGATCAGGACACTGTGAGGATAGAGCACAGCCTACAGGGACACACCCTTCCCAGGAGGGTTCCTGGAGCCCATGCTGGTGACATTCAGGCAGTGAGGAAACAGCATCTATAACCTGGAGAGGGTAAATTTCTCTTGTTTTCAAAGCCACACAGACATAGGACTTGGTTAAAGGAGCCCATGAAAACAGAGAATATTTCTGTTTAAAAAATTGTTACCACTGGACCTATAGGCAACATCATATTAGATGGAGAAAAGGTTGAAGTTGTCAGCACTTTCATTTTACTTGGATCCACAATCAACATCCTTGGTACCAGCAGTCAGGAAAATCAAGAGACGTATTGCACTGGAAAAGTCTGCAGTCAGGGACCTCTCAAATTATTGAGAAATAGTGATATCAGGACTAATGTAGATCTGATTCAGGCCATGGTCTTTCTGATCACATACTATGTATGCATCTGAGAGCTGGACAGTGGGTAACGATGACAGAAGAATTGACGCCTTTGAGCTATGGTGTTGGAGAAGAGTACTGAACAGCTCATGGGTTACCAAAATAGCAAGCAGATATGTCTTGGAGAAAGTGCAGTTAGAGTGCTCCTTAGAGACAATGATGATAACGTTTCATCTCACATACTTCGGGAATGTTGCTTGGAGAGGGGCATCATGCTTGAAAAGGTGGAGGGAAGGTGAAAGAGAGGAAGACCCACAACTAGATGGATTAGCACAGTGAGTTCTGAAGTGGGGCTGAGTGTGTCAGGAAGTATGAAGATGGCACAGGACAGGGCAGGGTTTAGATCTGTTCTTAGGGTCGCTGTGGGTCATACCCAACTCAATAGCACCTAACAACCGCGATTAAGCCAGGGTGGAAGGATGGCCATCAGATGGAGCCAACCACCCCCTTCAAATCAGTGCAGCACTCCATCCTGAGCAGATAAGATCATTCAGAACCAAAGGCAAGATATTAATGGGAAAGCATCCCCCAGGAAACGTGGGAACTGTCACAAAACAACAACAACAGAAAGAGAGCTTGACCAGAGCCCCAGCAACTCAGAAAACCTATCAGAATTGACATTTTTCTTGTTTTTGGTACCACTGAGTTGATTCTGACTCATAGTGAGACTCCATGTGACAGAGTAGAACTACCCATAGAAATTGCTAGTAATTTCTATGCACAGTATCTCTGAACCCTGCCCTATCCTGAACCAATTTCACTGTCTCAACACACCTGCCTCCCTTACTCCAGTTACTGTGTCACCAGCCTCCATCCCCCCATTCACTGTATCACTCCATCTCATCCAGGATCCTCCTTTCCCGTGCTGTCCCTCCACCCTTGCAAGCACGGTGTCCTTCTCCAAGGACTGGTTCCTCCTGGCCACGTGCCCAGAGTATGTGAAATAGAACTGCACAATTCTTGCATCTAGGAAACAACCTGGTTTCACCCTCTCCAGGATAGATCTGTTTGCTCTCTGGACAGGCCATGGTATGTTCAATACTCTTTTACAACACCACAAAACTCAAAGGCATCAATTCTTCTTTTGTTGTCCTTAGTCATTGTTCTAGCTCTCTGATGCATAGCAAGTAATTATGAAGACCATGACCCTAGTCTCTAGATTGTCATTATTGCTTTTCAGTATTCTGTAGCGGTCCCTGACAGCAGACTTTCCCAATGCAATTAATCTTTTTATTTTTTGACTCCTGGTGCCAGTAATGTTGGTTGTGGAACTGAGCAAGATGAAATTGTTAACCACCTCAGTCTTTTCTCCCTTTCTCATGGTGCTACCACTTGGGCCAGTGGTGAGTAGCTTTGTTTTTTTTTTTATGTTGAGCTTCAATCTATTTTGAAGACTATAGTCCTTGACCTTCTACAGCAGATACTTTAGGTCCTCCTCAGTTTCAGCAAGCAAGGCTCTATGATCTGCATAACACAGGTTGTTGATGAGTTTTCCTCCAGATGCTACATTCCTCCTCATAAAGGCTAGCCTCCTGAATGATCTGTTCCACAGATAGATTGGAAAGGTGCATCCCTGACGCACTCCTTCCCTGATTTTGAAGCATGATCAAACAGTTTAATAGTTTATTAATGGATTAGACTACAGTTAAGGGGTCAGGATTGGAAGCACATGGACAGCTTCTCCCTTCATTGGTGCAAAGTAGGTCTCTTGGCTCCTCGAGATCACACCGGCCTCCTCATGGCTCCCTGTGGACCGTCTTCCTACAGCATGTACATCCCTGTTGTCGTTAGGAGCTGTTGAGTGGGTTCCGGCTCAGCGATCCTAAAGCATGTTATCTTTATGGAAACAGACCGCCAGGTCTTTCTCCCTCCAAGCCACCAACCTTTAACCGGAGCCCCACCAGGGCTCCTTGAACTTTCGTCCTCTCCTGCCATAGGAACTAAGGGTGTTTCCATGTTCACAACACTTCTCTGGATGGAGAAAAGAAAAAGCTCCCATGCCACTACGCCACTTCTACTCATGTGTTAATGCAAATGAAAAACGCTGATGCTGTGTCTTTTTGACATTGCTTTTTAATTATGGCCATCAATAAATCATTGCTTCCGTGAACGAGGCTAGAGAATGGCCGCAAGGCAGAGACACAATTCCTTAGGAACTAGGTCAAGAGAAAAATGGTCTTTCTCTCTCCTCCCACCGCTCCCCTTGATCTGCCTTCTGAAACAAGAAATTTCTCGCTCCAAGTTGCTGGAAGTTGATGGTCACACTTGCGCTTCATCTGGGAACACTCTTAAGCCACAGTTTGGCCCTGGCCCATCTGAATAGCCTCAGAAACTGGGTCTGTCTTTTGCATCCTGTTTCTCATCATTCTCAACTCTCGTTGTTGTTAGGTGCCATCAAGTCGACTGCGACCCTGTGAATAATGGCAACCCCATGAACCGAACAGTGGATCTGAATCTTGCTCAACACCACACCATCCTTCTCATCTGTCTGATATGTTTAAGCCCATTGTTAAAGCCACTGTGTCAATCCATCTTGTTGAGGGTCTTCCTCACTTTTGCTCACCCTCCATCTCCCCAAGTACGATGCCTCCTCCAAAGGCTGGCCTCTCCTAACAGTATGCCCAGCATATGTGAGACGAACTTTCCTTGCCTTTAAGGAGCATCCTGGTGCACTTTCTCCAAAATGCATTTGTTTATTCTCTTGGCAGTCCATGGAATATTCAGTACTCTTCTCTATCGGTGGGCCCCCAAAAGACTTGTTCACCTCTCTATTTCCAGTACTATAAATAGGACCTTCTTTGAGAAAAGGACTTTTGGAGATGAAAGGGAGATCATTTGGGATTATGTGATGGAGAACTCAAATCCAAGGACAAGTGTCCTTAGAAGAGGCAGAAAGGGAGGGGGCTGTGTGGAGATGGAGATTAGTGATGTAACCAAAAGGCAAAGCAAGATCCTCCCCTAAAACCTCTGGAGGCATCATGCCCTGCTGACATCTTGGTTTCAGAGGCCTGGCTTCTAGGACTATGAGAGGATAGACTCCTGTTGTTTGAGGCAAGGCTTCCTTCCAAACGGTGCATTCCATTTCCACCTGCAGCTGAGAGTTGGGCATTTGAAGAAGAGCTGTCAGGGATCTTCCTACAGCACAGATTCTGACTCAGTATATCTGAACCAGAATCTCTCTCCCCCCTTCCTCTCCTCTCCTTTTGTCTCTTGTCAGATTACAGGTATTACAGGCCACAACCCAGGAAAACTCTCCTGACATGAGATCTGGCTTACAGTGGGGTTAAGGAGGCCTATATCCCACCCTTAAGCCTTTGATGTCTACATTTTATCATTATCTTTCAAACAGGCAGAATGGTGGCCCAGGCAAGAAAGTACATATTATTGGTACACAAGATTCAATCCATGACGGGAATGAACCGGTTTGAAGCTCTGGTTTTCAACTACTGGGCTTGTGGTCCTTTGTTCCTGTACCCACACGACACTCCTGCAGCCATGCTATTGGGTAGCTGTTTGACCTGGTGTCTGTCACTCCCTTTCAAGGCTGTGAAGCCAGAGACTGTGGCCAAAAGGCTTCTCCTGTCACTGGAGGCCTTGGCGTCATGGCTTTCTGCTAGTGTCATTGTCCCATCTATTTAACCCAGGTTGACTTCACCTCCTGGGGCTG